CGATCAACTCGGCCAGGAAGAAGGATACGCACGAGAAGAAACTGGTCCTCGACGAACGCAATAACATCACCGAGAAGTCACACGATGAGTGGGATGTGCGAGGACAATGGATGCTTATAGACGCGATTGAGGCAATCCGATGGGCCTGGATCCTCATTAAGTATGCCTCCGAGACGGTCGTCAACAAATACGTCGATTGGTTCATTCGTCTCGTACGCAAACATTCACAACGCATTAACAACGTGAAAAGCCTTTGGGAAGAATTCTCTTGGGACATCGCCATGCGCATGCGATCTAACGAGACCTTCCAAGCGATCACCGACGACCTCATCAACGACCTCACCAGAGTCAACGACGTTATACAACAACCGCTGTCGAAGAAGCAGCGATTCGGCAAAGGCGCCGAACAAACCCCGAAAGGGAAAGGAAAAGGATATCAGCAGAAGTGGTCACCTCCAGGACAAGGACGGCGATATCGACAACCCTGGTCCAATCCGACCACACAATGGCGCTCATGGCAACCTTCGACACCTACGTGGACTACACAGGCCATGTCTTCTTGGCAAGCCACCCCGACACAAGCATGGACATCTCCTACGACGCCGACTTTCTTTACTCCGACACCATCACCGACCCTGCCACTGAACCCGGCTCCTCATGTATCTCAAACACGACCTCCTTGGAACGCGAAGGGAGACAAAGGCTCGAAAGGCGCCGGCAAGAAGGGCAAAGCCGGTAAGTCCGGCAAGAAATAGGGACAGCACGGCCCAGGGTCTGCCGACCCTGGAGCCGACCATCGACCGACAGAGTTACACGACCGAACTTGTACATTGTGCTACGAGCTGGTCGGCACCTTACCGGTGGTGCACCTGTCCTTCTTCGATGGTATCGGGATTGCCTCCGAAGCACTACGACGAATCAATGGGCACATCCTCCTGACCCTTTCTTGGGAGATCGACCTCGAATGTGCACAGTTTACCTCACAACACTTCGGATCCATACAAATGGGGGACGTGACACAGTTCGACATCGAGTCCGTCGCGGAGCACATCGATGCTGCTACTCTCCATCAACAATACATAATGGTGATAACCGCTGGACCACCTTGCCCCGATTTTTCGAACTTGCGTCACCGACCCCCAGGCTCCGAGGGCACATCGGGTTGGCTTTTCAGTCACATGGTGGGCATCGAACACCAACTCCGGAAACGCTTCACTGGCATCGCCATTGAAACGATCTTCGAGAACGTGGTCCCTCACCCGGATGTTCACGACAACTTGCTTGAGCTCACATCGCCACTGAGTATGGACCCCATAGTCGTCGATGCAGCCGACGCCGGAATCATGCACCGGAAGCGGCTGTGGTGGACATCGATCCCTTGGAACATCATCGAAGAACGCCTTCCACGACTCACACCTTGGTCCTTGGACTGGAAACTCGAGGGAAAATGGCACCGACTCCACAACCCGATCGCTAAGGAATTGCAGACACACATCAAGACGAAGGACTACTCCCTTCCCCCATGCCTCCATAGCGACAAGAAACTTTTCCATTGCTTGACTACACCATCAACATCGACTACGGGCCGAGATCCGCCTACACATCTCCGAGATCGCTCGACTTCACATGACGCGTGGCAACGATGGGAACAGGACAATCGTCGATACCCTGTGTGGCAGTACGAGGAGCAGTTCTTGGTGACACTACCCGATGGCACATGGTCTACCGCACCCGCCACACTTCGAGAACAACTTCAGGGTCTACCGCTGGACTACACCGCCACACTCGCTCAGGGCGACGAAACCAAACGATGCGTTGCTTTGGGCAACTCTTGGCATCTTCCCACGGCAGTTTGGATCATGTTCCTGCTGCTTCTCGGGACCGTCAACGCGACCATCCCCGACACACCACGATCTTCGGCTCTCCAACAGATTACTGCCTTGTGGCTACACCACAAAGTCCCTTTCGGTCCTCCTCCACGTTCCACGACACACAACTACATGCCTCAGTTCTCCTGGACAGAACACCTCGATTGGGCACTTCATCGCGATACACACTTGGCCCCGAAGACGCCTGGATCCTACCCTCGAGTGGTGCTTACAACATCGACATGTGTTTCACCCACTCGTAGATTTCCAGAAAGCGATCATCGCCGACATCCGCGAGCTCGTCGAAGACATGGAGGATCACACCATGGCCTGGTATCACACACTCCCAGAACACGTACAACGAGCATATCGACACAAGGATTCAGTCACACAGATCCCAGTACTCGTTCACTTACTACGACTGATCCAATACCCACAAACAGAGCTGATATATCGCGAACTCTCCGAAGGTTTCCCCTTGATGGGCAAGTTGACCCCAGGCATCAACTGGCACGTTCGACAGGACCTTAAATATCTCGAACCCACACCGATCGACGAGTTTGGTGACAAGAACCGACAGTACATCCACGACAAGATCGAGAAGAATTCCGTCGACGAACATTGGGAACTGATGCTGGATGAAATCCTGGCCGAAGTCGACATGGGACGCATGAACGGACCGTATCAAGCCCCCGACTGGTGGCCCCGTGCTGCCACGGTACCACCAAAAGGGAAACATCGAACCCTGTTACCACTACCACACTCCGATCCCTACATCGCCATGGCTTTCAGCATCGAACAGACCGGCAGCGACGGCAACAACAAAGTCCGACGAGGCGAGGATTGGCGCCGGAGTGGCCACAATGCGACCTGCACCATGCACGACCAACCGTACCATCACACACCCGACCACTTTATTTCCTTGGGACTCGCTACACTCCGAACCGATCACTCGAAACCCTTGTCTGTTTGGGGACATGACCACGACGGGGCTTATCGCCAACTTCCACTTCGTGATCCTCGAGAAGCCTATGTGATGTTGTTGACCCCGGACGGCCCAACGCTGTGGAGCCACAATGTCCTTCTTTTCGGATCGGCCGCAAGTGTCTGGTCTTACAATCGATTCGGCGACATTCTCGTGGCCTGCAGCCGAACGATGATCTTGTCTCCGGCCATGCACTACGTCGACGACTACGGATCCATGGAAGACTCCGACCTCGCCAAAGGCAGCTTCGAGTCCTTCGAGGAGTACAACGGATGTCTCCAGATATCGATGAAGCCCAGTAAACGTCAACCACCGCAAACAGCACATCGTATACAAGGAGTCATCATTTCATCCGACGACAACAACTTGGTCCTCACACCTTGTCCAAAGAGAGTCGAAAACATGTGTAGACAAATCGACACACACCTGACTACTTCGTCACTGTCCCCCGAGCAAGCCAGGAAGATGGCCGGGAAGTGCAACTTCCTGACTGGGAGACTATTTGGCAAGGTGGGTCGAGCGGCCCTGAAGGCACTTTATTCTCGAGCTCACTCCTATTCACATGCCCTCGACAAGCCCACACGCTCATCACTACTCGCCCTCAAGGACATCATACAGCACTGCCGACCAATGACGATACCACGCACACCGACCAAGCCGACATACAGCGTCATCTATACGGACGCATACTTCCGGCTTGGCTCCACCATCTACAAGCCGGGAGACAGCGACATCCCTAATTGGGACTCAAAGTCGACGTCCGACATCGAAAACGGCTGGGCGGCGGTTTGCTTCCACCACGGTGACGTGCGAACCGCCGCCTACTTCCAGGGTCGTCTTCCTTCACTACTTGTTCGACAGTTTGCCTCCGACCAGGCCTTCATCTACCTTCTCGAAGCATGGGTAGCGATACTGGCACCGTTGGTCTTCGAACCGTGGCTGGATCAGTTCTACGTTCAATGCTGTGACAACGAAGCCTCCCGACACGCCCTACTCAAGGGCGTCGGCAAACATCAACCTTTGAATTGCCTCATTGCGGCACATTGGACTTGGCACAATCGACGCAGTATTGCACATCGACTTGAGCGGGTACCCACCAAGGCGAACATCTCCGACGGGATCAGCCGCTTTGAGAACGTTCCGGAGTCTGAGAGCTGGACTAAACTCGATTTACCTCTTAATGCACTGACGAGTAGAGCTGCGAAGATCATAGGAGATATCCATTTTGCTTCCTCGACGGGTTTTTCCGACTTACCCGAAATTCACCGATTGCACGACCATTTGCTTTCGATGTTACGCTAATGTTCTTTCGAGTGGCGTTCGCCTGCGATGGGAGGACGCGACCACACTCGATGGGAACCAGTCGGTCCTCCCAGCGGAAGGAAAGATCAACACCGATCTGTAAGATCGACTACTTCGATCTGTAAGATCGAAGCGCAGACTTAACGCCACCGAAGCGGAAGCAGTTGGAAAACACCTCCGCTGAAGCCAGGGATTCATGGCCTTTGTGTGAGAATTTCGTTGTCGTGTAGCACACACTTGTTTGTGCGAAGTGACAACTTCATATCTCACTTAAACACCGAATCGGTCAGGGGATTGACTCACCGATTCATGTCGAATGATTGTATACTCCGTGGCCATTTTGGCGAAAGCTGTTACAGCTTGAGCGAAATTTTGTTTCACCCACCCGTCCCGACCCTCTTCGATATTACTTTCAATTTTCCTCTGCTTCCTGTCTGCGAGAACCGCCTGGGAACCAGTCGGTCCTCCCAGCGGCAGGAAAGATCAACACCGATCTGTAAGATCGACTACTTCGATCTGTAAGATCGAAACGCAGACTTAACGCCACCGAAGCGGAAGCAGTTGGAAAACACGTCCGCTGAAGCCAGGGATTCATGGCCTTTGTGTGAGAATTTCGTTGTCATCTCTTTACGGAGGCGAATGTGAATGAGGTGGCATCTTCGTTTCTGTTGTTGCATCTCTATCTTGGAATTGGAGTTTGCCAATCCACGCACTTCTCGAAAGCTACTTCAATAGTGCATCTCAACTGTCCCTTGGGCGGAGTCGAAGTTTGATCGTCGACGCCCGCGGCAATCAAAAGGAAACGAAGAGAAGCAAAGCAAAGCTTTGGACTATGTCCTTGCGAGGATGCCATCGCCGAGATCCACGTGGACCTGGACCTGAGGGCTGGCTCCATCCTTGAGCTGCAGGGGCAGCAGGGGCAGCAGGGGCAGCAGCCTTTGAAGGGCAGCTTGGAGGCGGAAGCCCTGGAGGCGGAGCTTTCGCAGGAGCAGGAGCTCTTCGATTTGAGGCATCGCCAGGTGCAGGGCCTCGAGGAGCGGCTCCAGGACCTCTTGGCCGAGGAGCCCCGCTTTTCAGAGAGTTTCCGTCAAATCTGGGGAGAGGTTCGTCCAATCTTTGGGTGCTGTGCAATCCGCTCTGCTTGAGCACAGGAGGGCCCCCGCATGGAGGTTCTCGGCGCTTGGGTGGCTGTGCACGAGCCGCTCCTGACGAAGGAGCTGGAGAAGGCGGAACAGACGGAGCACACGGCGGAAGCGGAGGTTCGATCGGAAGAAGCGAAGCAGGACTTTTCGGGCATGTCGGGCATGGTGGGATCAGAGACGGGTTCGGAGATGACGTTTGCGTCTGAACTTTGGAAGGAGCTATGCGCCGACATGGCAAAGCAGCGGAGATCCGAATTTGATTTCCTGACCGAGGCCAGCAGCCAGCGCATCGTAAACAAGGGCAGCACAAGTCTTTGCACTGCACTTTCTCGAACTTGCCTTTTCTTCCGCATCTTGCCTTTTAAATTCATTGATGCTAGCTGACTCCCTCCCAGGGACCTTGTGAAAAAACCGTAGACGGGCTTGCTGGCTTTGTGGCTCAGGGTTCGCTGCGATGTGACTCTCGGCTTTTTGCAAAACAACGCTCCAGTTCCCAAACGTCCGAACTCTGCGGACCACATAGGGTTCAGTAAGAGGTTTCCAAAAAAAAAGGACCCACATGATGTAGGACGGCCAATACGAGGACCCACACCACAATAATCAAAGCTGCTGACTGTTGGCATCCTGGCAGGCCAGCGCGGCTGCGGTGGAGGAAGCAGACAAAGCCGCCCGCGAGGCCACCGCACAGTCAGTGCGAAGTGAAGTAGAGCAGCCCGTGCAAGTGGAAATCCAATGCTGAGTGTTCCTCGCCGCCAGGCAGCAGTGCTGTACCGACAGCGTGGGATTCTCCTGCGGGATGTGGATGGCCTGGCACGGGAGGCACACGGGCAAAGTGTTAAAACCTGATGGGGCCAAGCAGAGGAGATGTGTGCAGACGCGCCAAGACCCGGGCCCGGAAGGAGCGCGCCGCTGCTCTCCGTGCAGACTCAGCTTCCGAGCGCCTACGCCGGGACCGGCGGCGAGCGGTTGCCGCCACGACGAAGCAGCTCTGGGAGCCAGGCCCGGCCCTGCGAAGGGCAAAGAGCCAAAGAGGCCTAAGTGACTCAGCGCCACAACCTTCGTGAGACGAGGTCGCGCAAGCCTGCTCCGAGGGACTTGTCCCAAGGAGGCGAGGAAGAGAGCAGCGGCGCAGGCTGGTGTTGGCACCTTCCATGCCCCCAAATTCCACAGAGCGCTGTCGCAGGCAGCTGTGTAGTACACTGTGTAGGGAAGCCATTTCCGTTGCTGACCGGCATCAGCGGGTCAGCTTTGTCCCAATCTTGTTTGAAAGGCTTCCAGATTCCTCGTTACGGGGCTTGATGTGCTTTGTGCTTCCAGTCGTCAATGAAAAGTGTTCAGGCAGAGGAAATGGTCGAGGCTTCACGTGGACGGCAGCTGCTCGATTGAACCCGTGGTAGTGCAATTGCGATAGACATGTTCCGAGTCTGCACCGAGGTTGCAGGAACTGCAGCTCTTCAACGAGGAGATATCCGTGGTTAGCGCTGAGATGGTCGAGCTCAGAAAAGACCTGGCAAAGGCCATGGCGGGTATGCATCAATGCGCCTTTGCACAATCCATGTGAGCTGCGGTTCCTTCTGGGAAGATGCACCCGAGTCAAGAGCCTGTCGCTTCGTTCACCACGCATGATGAACAGGCCTTGGCGAGACTACAACCTTTAAAACGGAAGGCAAACAGGGCAACGTCGCTCACGGAAGGGAATGTTTTGAGCAAATCAGGGGCGTCCCCCCAGCCCCAATACACACGGTCAGCATCTTTGTCGTGGCGGCTTGGCAGCCAAAATCAAGTGTATTCGGCGGGGTCAGTGGCTCACTTAAGCGGGGTGGGCTTAGTTGGGACGGCGTTAAGAAGAGGGGAAAGAGGTTCCCGGAGTGGAAAGAGGGAGGGGAGTTTCCTTTGGATTCTGTTCGTAAACAAGGCAAAGCTTATATGTCATGATATCTTTCGACAAAGACCTTTCATCATGCATCAGCTTGAACATATCAAGTACGGCTCGCTGCTCTGTGTTCGGTCTTAAGTTGCCCTTTGCAACTCTGGAAGCATCATGGCCACCTTCTTCACAGAGTGCATGGGATGCGGAAGCCTTCTCGTCTGATTCCGCAATTTGGTGGGGATTTTGCCAGAGAGTTGGTTGCGTGCGCAAGGCCGAGGATGCCGGAGCGGAGAGACAGTGGAAGCAATCTGAGGAGGCTCCAACACGACTTTGGCAAGACGATATGGTGCAGTCCGGTGCAGAGCTGCTTGTCAGGCTCAAAGACAGTCGAAGGTTGCGGCCACACCGAAGGAAGTGACTGCGCGAAGTCTTTCAGGCGGCGCTGCATTTCCTTTCCTGGAAGCCTGGAATCCTGGAACTGCAAAGCGTTCCTCCCGAGGTACCCGCAAGGGAAGCGTTGGCAAGAAGGCCTCTCAGGCGCCTCGAGCCTACAGCGCAGCTGTCCGACGGACGTGCTGAGCCGTTTTTGCAACGATCAGGGTCGCCTGGAGATGGTCGCGACAACTCTACGTGAGCTGGAGCAGCAGGAGCAGGCGCAGAGGACAGCAAGAGCCTGGGACGAGAGGAGCAAGGATCATTCTGCAAAGCTCGGAGGTTCCTTTGACCTGAGCCGGAGCCCAGGAGAGTGCCGGGCAGCGGAGCTGACGGCGTCTCTGGAGGCGGCCGAGGCCAGCAGACGAAAGAAAGGGCGCGTGATTCTCACGCGCATGTTCTGCCTTTCAAGGCTTCGCTGCAGCGCTGCCGCGCGGATCACCGCGCCGCCTCGGCCGGAGCCTTGCGCCGCCTGCGCCGCTCTGCCCGGGAGGCCTGAAGTCCTGAAATCCTGCAGCTTGCAAGGGCTTCAAGTCCACTTAGCCGAACTCGGCCGGCAGACCGAAGAAGCGGAGCGGAGATGCTGTGAGCTGGCAGTCGCCAAAGATCGCGTTTGTTGCGGCCTCAGGTGATCCAACAAATTCCATCTAGAATTTGGCAAACCATATCAAAACCAGTCAAACCCCAGAATTTTCTGCAATCCCTTCGACAGATCTTCTACACCTTTATCTGGTACCGATAAACCCTACCAAATGATTTTTCAACCCAAGAATCCGTGTGAAGACGCCCCGAAAGATCAAGGCTTAGCCCTGCGTGATGTGGCCTTTGCCGTACCTGCCGGCGACGAGGCCCAGAAGGGAACACTGCTTGGAGGTGCAATGTCCAGGTCGGCCAATATCAGGACTACACAGGTAGGCAGGTAGGGCACGACGTATGTGCATACATGTATGCACATGCATGCAGATACATCTATCTATCTGTCTGTTTATCTATCTGTCTATCTCCGTATCCATCGATCTACATACATATATATATATATACATATCTATCTAAGTTTATCTGTTTATGTATCCATCCATCTATACCATCTGTGTGTGTATATATGTATAGCATAACATATCGTAGTATAGTATATCATAATATGACATGGTATAGCAAAGTATAATGTAATACACCATAACCTAACATGAACTAACATAATCGAACTCAAAACAGCTTGCAGAAACATGTCATGACATAGTGAAACAGAACATAATGTACCATCATCTATTATAAGGCAATGGAATCGAACATTATATAATGTTACAATAGAATGAGTGAATGCAATGTACTGTTATGCCAGATTACACTCTGTCGTCTTGTAGTATAGCATAGTAAATTAGAAGATACTTTTCTTATATGGCAGAATATTGTTTCATGCGCCAAAAAAGAGTTGTGTGCAACCATGTTGTATTATCGGATAGTTCGTCATATTATACTTTTTTATGTTTGTGATACATTATACAGGCCATTCGAAGACCCAACAGCAAGGCTTTACCAAGCGACCACGACGGCACTTCGCCAAGCAGAAATTGACGCATACCCCTCCAAGAGCCAGGCGGCCACTATGATGGGTTCACTTGGCAGCCACCACGGCAGCTAAAACTGGCAGGAACCAGCGCTCCGCGATGGTAGATGCGGCACGCCTCTAAAATCTAGCAGATCGTAGCTGCGGCACAGATCCAAGAACCAGGCCACGACGTGAGGTACACACAGCCAGGAACCTGGTGACCACGACGCACGCCTCCAAGAATCACCATGACCACAGCGGCAAGTAACTTTCTCAAGAACTGGGCGACCAGAAAGCAGCCGTCCGTGATGGTCGGTGCACTTCCAAGTACCTACCGCTCTGACCCACGAGATCTGTGAGGCAAACCTACCGTGACCTGGTTTTTGGATGTGTACCTACCTTGCGGTCGCTTTGATATTGGAAGGTTGCAGACAGTCGTGGCTGGACAGTCGCAGCGTTCTTTCTTCAACTCTAACCGTCGGTTGAAGCTTTAGGGTTTGGAGGTTTAGGCGCTTAGGTTTAGAGTCAGGGTTTATCCAGGAAAGCCCGACAAGGCCTTCGGAGTCAGTATCCTCTGGGGCTAGGGTCTATGTTGGTCGGCCTTGCTTCGTGTGAGACACCTCCCAGAAACAGCTGCCCATAAAGGCAAATGAAGAGGTTCGTACACAGCTTACAGCTTAACCCTAATGCGAGGGCCTCAAGAATTGGAATAGAACCGTCTCAGGGTCCCTATGGCAAGCGTAGTATGATCGGTTTCCTACTCAAATCACAATATGGGGTCCTATTATGTTCTTTCTAGATACAGTACCACGGAAAGATCTCTCTGTAAGAGCTAAGGCCTTCGTAGTGGTAACAACTGAATTTTGCTCCTGGGTGCTTGTGCTGGCAGCCTGCTGAGACTGCCCGGGTTCAGGTTGAGGATAGGAAGCAAGATAATCATGCTAAGTATTGCCTACAGCCCGTTCCCTACTGCTCCGAAGCAAAACCTGCCCACAAGCCATAGGAAGTAAGATAACCATGCTAAGTATTGTCTACAGCCCGTTCCCTCGTACTCTTGAACAAACCTTTTCCACAAGCCATGGGAAGTCAGATAATCATGCTAAGTATTTTTTACAGGCCGTTTTTTATTATATAATCCTAACAACCTGCAGTCTATATATTAATTCTATTCCGTAGGGTTCTTATCAATAAAGTCCACCAGAACACCAGTCTAATTGGTCAGGTTCTGTATTGAGCTCTAGTTTCTTTAGACCTAAAATGCAAGCCGCTTTGCCGATCCCAAGGCTCTTAGCGAGGACGCCGCCCGCATAAATCACCGCGCGAGTCCTCTCGCAGAAGTGTCTCTGCGTGGGCCTTCACAGGTTCCTTGTTGCATCGTTCCTCGACTCTAGTTGAGCATTGAAAGTTCCGGGTTTAGAGGTCTGCGGGTTTATGGTTTGGGCTCAGGTTTCGTCCAGAAAACCCGACAAAGCCATTGGAGCTGTTATCCTGTATGGGCTGAATGTCTATGTTTGTCGGCCCTGCTTCTTGTGAGACACCTCCCAGAAACAGCTGCCCAGAAAGGCAAGTGAAGAGCTTCGCACAGAGCCTACACCTCAAGCCTAGCACAGGGGCCTTAGTAATTAGAATAGAACGTCCTCAGGGTTCGTTCGACAGTTGTAGTACGATCGGTTTCCTATTCAAATCACAGTACAACAGTGTTCCTATTACGTCTTTTGTAGATACAATAGCATAGCCTCAATCCGTAAGAGTAATGTATGGGGAATCCCAGCACTGTTTGACCTTAATCCGGTTTCCATTTTTATGAGGTTTACTGTAGTAGGAAACGGGATGTAAACAATACTTAGCATGATTATCTTACTTCGTATGGCTTGGGGACAAATTTTATGTAGGAATACTAGCGAACGGGCTGTAGACAATACTTAGCATGATTATCTTACTTCCCATGGCTTGGGGGCAAATTGTCTTTAGGAGTAGTCACGAACGGGTTTTGGACAATGTGTAGCATGATTGTCTTACTTCCATGACGTGTGGGCAAGTTGTGCTTAGGACCAGTAGGGAACGGGGTGTAGGCAATACGTAGCATGATTATTTTACTTCCTATCCTGAACCTGAACCCGGGAAGTCTCGGGCGTGCGCAAGCACCCCGAAGCGAAATTCAGGTGTTGCAAAATACAGAGGCCTCAACATTTACGGCGAGGTTTTCCGGTTCCTTTTTGCCTGCATCGCTCAGGACCAAAACCCTTGACACTGATTAGGCCTGAAGCTCTGAACCCCCCTGAGCCCGCAGTTCTCAGTATTCGTTTGGGGTCTCGATTTGGGTTCTGGATTGCAGAACTATGCAATTTTATATGAACTTTGATGAAATCAAAGTTCAGAGCGCTTTCTCCGAAGCCGAAGAAACTCCAAGCAGAGAACAGGCGCAAGTGTTCAAGATGTAGGGTCGGGTTCTCTTGTTTCAGCGGACTCTAACGAAGGGTTGAAGGTTTAAGGTTTAGACGTTCAGGGGTTTAGGGTTTACGCTTAGGGTTTATCCAGAACAGCTCGACAAAGCTAGTATCTTGTGGGTTTAATATCTCTGTTGGTCGGCCCTGCTTCTTTTGAGACACCTCTCGTAGACACCTGCCCAGCGGCAAGCATACGTGCAGATTGTGCCCCTTTCGAATTTTTCGACAACAAGACGGGACTTTTGACCCATCTCCGCAAGTATCACACCGACATCAACCAATATATGTTTGCTCTGGCACCAAGCAGATCAAGGTGATCCTCACTTTGCACGATCATGCCGCAAGACCCCAACTGCCAGTCTGTCACTACCTTCAAGAGAGCGCACCGCTCATGGCAGCCTCTGTGGTCCCGCCTCGTTGTACGTCTCGCAACTATGTGGATCAGGTTACTTTTCAAGTCCAGTGGCCCAGAGTATATCAACGTCTCTGAGCTCGGCAAAACAGTTGTTGCTCGTTGAGTTCGGGACATCTATGACAAGTCTTTTTCAGAGATGCTTTTCCAGGAGGTACTGATGCATCATGTTCAGGCGGGATGTCTTGCTGACTCCTAATGCTACTTCCACACCTGCACAGAAACAACAGTAACGTGCTTAGTCACCCCGACATTTCGCGCAGGTTCGAGCTACCTGGCCCAGATTGCATCTTCGAGCCCACGAAGCTGGAAATCAGCTTTCCTTGCTGTATCCCACTCACTCTCGGCATTGAGCATTGGTGGCCACTTGTTGAGGATGTCGCATATTCAGCTGCAGTTCAAGCGAAGATGAACGAAATGCTGGATGTTCTTCTCGACAAAAGAAGTGGCTGTACGTGGGCGTGGATGCAACGCTTAAGACATGCCTCAAGCTCAAGAGGGTCGGGAGTCATATCGGGCACCAAAGGCGGCCCGAAATGCTGCCCCATTTCCTGATGCCGCAACATGGAGGCGGCTTTTGACGGCCCGAGGTCGCACAGGAGCCGTTGTGCTGATGGTGCCCCTTGCAACTGAGAAAGCAGAGCACGTCGTGGATGAATTCCAGCTCAGCTTCTCGGCAGCTGCTTTGGCCTAAGTCGAGTACTTGGCTACAGATCAGCCGTCTCCGAAGCTGTTCCCGATGTTACAGAGTATTTGCACGAGCCTCAAGTGCGTGGCCCTTGATCCGACCCATCTCGCAACCGTGTATGAATTTGCGGTTCGAGAATGCTGCGATCACTGGTGCGGTGCTGGCCATTGATACAAGCAAGGCCGCTGAGGATTGGGGCATGATCTTTACTGGCAGCAACCCCACGCCGTTGAGCCAAGAGGAGCAATGTGCGCGAGATCACATATGGCATCAGAGGCGTACATGTTGAGTTGAGTCTGTGCACCGATGTGCCCTTTTACAACCGCTGTGAATTCATAAGGGGTCTCGCGGCTTTGTGTAGCCTGAAAGCGGAGGAAGTTGGCAGAAAGGTAACTGGTGCCAACAAGGAAGTGTTTAAGATCCCCTGGTCAGCTGCTGCGCCGGACCGCCTCGAATGGTTGTGGAACAACCTGCGGCTCCGACGCGGCATGACTCTACGGGAAAGAGCATTCCTTCCCAGTGGAACCTCCTCGAACGAGGCCCTTCACGCTGAGATCAATGTCTTTACCGTTCAGCACTTGACACTGATTGCAGTGTATGACTTCAAAGCACTTTGTGAGTTTGAGCCTCAAGCTCTTGCACACATGAAGGATGCCAGCTTCGGACCAGGCCATGCCGTTTAGCGCGGCACCTGCATTGAGATTCGAATGCCCTGTTGTTGGGGATTTCATCGTCTACAATGTCTACAAGGCAGTGATGGCTTGTGTGTGTACCTATATAAGTAGAAAGGAAACGGCCAAATAGACCCTAAAGGTCTCGCCCACATATATATATATATATATACATACACACGCACGCACATACTGTTCCAGGCCGCGACGGTAGGCACTCCTCCAAGAACCATGACCACAACGGTAGGCACGCTTCCAAGAAACGGGCGACCAGGCGCTACACACAATTCCAAGAAGAGGCATGACCACAAGGGTAGGTGCGCTTCTAAGAACTGAAACCAGCCGAGCAGACGCTACATGCACTTCCACACGCAGGCCCGATGGTAGGTAAACTTTGAAGACGACGGTAGGTAAGCTTCCAAAAACGATGACCACAACGGTAGGTCTACTTCCAAGTTCGAGACAGGCGAAACACATTTCCAAGAACCAGGTGGCCACAACGATAGGTAAAGCTTCAAAGACGACAATAGGCACACTTCCAAGAACCATGACCACAACGACAAGCACACCGCCAAAAGTTCTCCAAGACTTCGAACAACCAGGCGGCCGTGACGGCAGGAAATATTTCCAGGACAACGGTAGTTTGACTTCCAAGAACAAAGGCGGGCACGCCTCCAAGAGCCATGACCACCACGGCACGCGCCCTGCCAAGAATCAGGCGGCAGACGCTACATACACCTCCAAGAAGCAGACGGCCACGACGGTAGGTGAAACTTCCGAGACGACCGTAGGCACATAGACTTCCAACAACTATGACTGCAACGGAAGGCACACTTCCGAAAGCCAGACGCTACGTAGACTTCCAAGAACCGGGCGGCCACAACGACGATGATGAACTTAGGAAAACTTCAAAGACAACGGTAGGTACACTTCCAAGAACCGTGACCGCCGGTAGGTACCGGTCAACACACCTCCCAGCAACACCAGGCGGCCACGATGGCCGATGAAATTCAGAAGAGCTATGGTAACTTCCAAGAACCATGACAGGCAGCATGCACACTTGCAGGAATCAGGCGTCCAACCGCCGCATACACTTTCATAGGGATGTTCAGTCATTTCCGGAGATTCCAGTCCTTCATATTTCATGATTATTTCATCATTTCCGGATGACTCAGTCTTTTTTCGCTCTTGTATGTTCCTTAATTTTCGGGAATATTCCATCGTTTTTTCCCTCTTTTATATGTCGCGTCACTGCCTGGAAGTTCCTTCATTCATGTTTCATCATTATTCCACCATTTCTTGACTATTCGGGTAAATTTCCGGGTTATCGCCGTCATTTCCTGAAATTGCAGTCGTTCGTATTTGATCATTGTTTCATCATTTCCGGAAATTTCCGTCATTCCTGTGACATCATTATTTCAGCATTTCTGGAATATTCCGTTCTTTTTCCGTCCTTTATGTTCTGTAATTTCCGGCAATCTCCGTCATTCATGTTCATCATAAGTTTCATCATTTCCTGATTATTCCGTAGTTTTTCCGTTGTTCATATTTCACCATTTGCTGATTATTCCGTAGTTTTCCTTTGTTCATATTTCATCACTTCCTGATTATTCCGTCGGTCTTCCTTTTTTATGTTCTGTCATTTTCGGAAGTGTCTGTCATTCATGTTTGATCATTACTTTCATCATTTCTGGATTATTCCGTCGTTTTTCAGTCTTTTATGTTCCGTCATTTCCGGAAATTTTCGTCCTTCATATTTCATCATCATTTCATAATTTCCTGATTATTCGGTCGTTTTTCCGTTGTTCATATTTCATCATTTCCTGATTGTTGCGTTGGTTTTCCGTTTTTATATTTTATGTTCTGTCATTTCCGGAAATTTCTGTCATTTCTGTTTGATCATTACTTTCATCATGTCTGGATAATTCGGTCGTTTTTCAGTCTTTTATGTTCCGTCATTTCCGGAAATTTTCGTCCTTCATATTTCATCATCATTTCATAATTTCCTGATTATTCGGTCGTTTTTCCGTTGTTCATATTTCATCATTTCCTGATTGTTGCGTTGGTTTTCCGTTTTTATATTTTATGTTCTGTCATTTCCGGAAATTTCTGTCATTTCTGTTTGATCATTACTTTCATCATGTCTGGATAATTCGGTCGTTTTTCAGTCTTTTATGTTCCGTCATTTCCGGAAATGTTCGTCCTTCATATTTCATCAAAATTTCACCATTTCCGGATAATTCCGCTGTTTTTCTGGCTTTTATGTTGCGTCACTTCCTGGAAGCTTTTCATCATTTCCGGATTATTCCGTCGTTTTTCCGTCTTGTATGTTCTGTCATTTCCGGAAATTTCCGTCCTTCATGTTGCATCATTGTTTTATCATTTCCGGATTGTTCCGTTGTCTTTCAGTTTTTCATGTTCCGTCATTTCCGGAAATTTTCGTCCTCCATATTTCATCATTTTCGGCTTATTCCGTTGTTTTTCGTCTTTTATGTTGCGTCACTTCCTGGAAGTTCCGTCATTCATAATCTCATCTTTTCCGATTATTGGGAATTTCTTTTCCGTCACCGCTTTGGCCGTCCGCAGCCAATTTGAGCCAGGCCTGCCGTCCTTCATATCCCATCATTTCCGGATGATTCCGTCGTCGTGCCGTTTTGGCCGTCCGCAGCCACTTTGATCCAGGATGTGCTGTTGGGAATTACACTGTACTATTTTTGCACTATGTGATATAAAGTTATGTTACTTATGTTTTGTGACATCATACGAACATGTCATCTCATTATCGAAAACATGTTATGTCGTGTTATAGTGAACCCGATTAGTCTATTCAGTCCAACTTTGTTCTGTTCTGTTCTATTCTATTCTATGAAAGTGTATGGTATTATAGTAGTATATGTTACTGTATATTAGTCTAGAGTATATGCTATGGTATGATGTGACCTTGTATTATATTCTTGCACACTACATTTTATTTTATGTTTGTGTGAAATATGTGATACGATATGACATTATATGACACCGTATAACCGTGGATATGTATTTGATACGATTTACACTTTTTAATGTCATATCGGTTTATGTTACATCACATTGCTTCTTGTCATTAGCGCATGTTTGCAATAATATGTTCTATACTCTTGTAGTATAATACGGTATGGTACAGTATAGTATAGTACCGTGAAGTATAGTATGGAAAAGTATGGAATATGACATAACAAAACATAATGCAGTAGCATATGATATGATGTCGGTTTTACATTATGAACAAGAGCACAAATGAAGAGTCAATTGTTCAGCTTAGTGCTTTACACAGGTTTGGTGAGCTGTAACCATTCCTGCATGCACTTTGGCTTGATGCACGAAACATGTACTGTGGACCTTGAGCCCAACCGCATGAACATGATTCGTGACCGCTGCCATTTCCCACTCAAGCCGACATAGCAGAATAGTGCATATCAATCACGAGAAGTGATACCTGTGTCGCATGAGTCTTGTTTGTTCCTCTTCCCTACTGACAAGGCTTTGCGCCTTCCCTAGATGTTCCCCATACCGGAGCTGTCGGGAGTGTACATCGAGTAGTACGGGTGCGGTGGACGGATTTACCCTGCCAGTTTCCGGTCCGCGGGATCTGCGAGTAGCCGTTTTCGGCAGTAGCAGACCTCGAGTTGAGGATACCAATGCATTGTGGGCTCCGGCCCATGAAATCAACAAGGGTCGGCGTCCTTTGCAAGAACGTTGATAAAAGCTGGGTAAATACATAACTATACATACATGTGTATATGTGTGCACATCGTATATACACACACGCACGTCTCTGTTGTCTTTGTCTTTTCTGTTTGCATTTACGACTGTCACAGTAGAACCACATTCAACACATTGTATGTGCGCATGGATATTCTTCACTTGCGTGAGTCGGTTGCGGTTGCACAGGCCTCCCAACAAGCCGTGGAGCAACCAGCGCCCGGCCCAAACCTGGCTACCGAAGAGCGGAGGCCCGCCGGTCTGCAAGCGCGCGTGCGCGCCCTGCGTCTGTGTCTCTGTGTCTCTGTGTCCCTCTCTCACTCTCTCTCTCTCTCTGTGTCTCGCATGCTCTTCCAGAATGCCCTCTACCCGCAGTGCCATGCGCGTGTTCATTGATTGTTTCCACAGCCGAATTCTAGCGATTCCAGCGGAGCTGCAAGTGATCCATTTGGATTTGGGGCAATGGAAAGCTTGTCCAATTCAGGCCAGGGGCGGGCGAGGAGCCAATCAATCCCGAGCTCCTAGCCTTCTATCGCCAGGCTGGGGTGTCGAGTTCGAGATAAAACTTCCTCGTACCTCCAGCTGACATGCTTGGGTTGAGAGGGTGAAACCTTCGGAGATTCTTGTGAGTGCATGTGCGAGGCACTGGGTAGATGCTGTGTGATGCTCCAGCGTTCCAATTCCGGAGGTGTTGCCGCTGCTTCGAGGCAGCACGGTCGGGGCGCTGAGACCTCCACGCAAAGCCCTGGAGGCGGGTGGACGTGCTTCGAGGGCTGGCGAACTTCGAATGTGATACATGCAGGAAAGACAGCTCGTCCGAAGCTTAAAGGTTTCGGGGTTGCAAATGTGACAACATGCCCCTTGCTGGAGTCGAGGTGCTCAGTTCAGATCTTCAGCGTCTGGAGCTGTGGATGCAGGATTCTCGGTGGAGCCGTTATCCTGCCTTAGCCTGGCTCAGACGTGCAGTACTTGGCCGTTTTGCTCAGGCCCACAGACTCACCTGCGTCGGATTCCTATACTTCTCCTATCATGTCGGACAGCTTGGGACCCTCGAGCCCAGGCGATTGGATAGGGCGGAAACCGTGGAACATCCCGTGGCCTGGGCCTGAGGATGATGAAGGTCTTTTCGCAGTGCAACACCTGCTCTCTGAGGCGCGCAAGCGCGTTGCGGACGCCTTTCTCAGGCCCCTTTTCATGGGATCCCAGTTTCCGGAGCAGGAGGGAGTGGGCGCATAGTCTTGGTCAGTAATGTGGCGCCTTAGCAGACTTAGCATGTCCTCCCTCCCCAGCGTCAGCCCGCATTCAGCTGCTGCACGCACGATGCCGAAGGTTGGACATGCTGACCCGAGCCCCGAACTCGGAGACAATGGAAGCTTCAACCCGTCTGGTGTGGCAGTGCGACTATAACACATGCGAGAGCTTCGCTGGATGCAGACCTTGAACCTACAATTGGAAGTCAATCTCTACAGTTCTGTTCAGCTGTATCTAGCTGAGTGGACCTCTACGATTTCCAGTGACGTCCAGAGCACCTTTTGCATCGGTGATGCGGCTTCCGTCTCGTTTCCCGACTTGTGATGGACAAGCTGTGTGGCGGCCCCTAAGGTGCACCTTCCCAAAGCCACGCTGCTGGCGATGCAGCGGAAGGAGGGCGCAGAGACCAGGAGCAAGCCCAGGCCAGGCTCCGCACAGCGGCGGCCTTGCGGCTTGCGCTTCTGTGTGCAGGTTCTGGCTTCGCTTTGAGCTGGTCGTCCTGGGCTCTGACACGTGGCACCTCGCTACGAGCGTCCCGTCCTCGAATGTCGTGCTTCGCCAAGTTCGTGCTGAAGCTCGGCCAAGGATGTACAAACCTTACAGGCCATCACCAGCGCGGCTGCATGCTCAGCTTCAACAGGAAGATAGGTGCTCACAGATGATGTGGTTTTTTCAGTGACATTGCCAGGTGACGGCTTTGCTCACAGCCCGGAAAAAGCTCGGGGCACTTGCTTTGAGAGCCCCAGACGCAGAGCAGCGTCCGCTTTTTTTGCATCCGAAGAAGAGTTCCTGGAGTTCAGCGTCTGCACATGTTTTCTTTTGAGGTGCCAGGCAACAACTGGATGCTTTCTGCCTCTGAGCACAGGTGCTCGCAGCAGAGCCCTGCTGCAGGTAACTCCTGTTGTCAGCCGCCTGGCTGAGATTTCGGCTGGGCGCCTGAAATGCTAATCGCCGCAAAGCGGAACCTGCTGGGCAAAATCATGCGGAATGCACGGTCTTTGCCGGGCCATTCATTCTTGTGGGAGATGCTTCTGCTCTAGCCGTTTTCCGCCGGATGCACTCGTGCCTTCTCAAAAAGGTATGACAGAACTGCATCTGCGACGTTTGGTACATCGCTTTGACACGTGGGGTATGTGTGGACGCTCTCGAACCTGTGGTCGATTTGCTCAAAGATCTTGATCTTGGCCTTTAGTTAGTGAGCTCCAGGGGGTGAACATCAAGACAGTCTTCGACATGTAAGGGAATCTAAGGCCCTGGAGAGCCGCCAGGAATCGGGTTCCGCGCAGAGCCCGGAAGCTCGTGATGCCCCAAGTGAAGAATAAAACAAGAGCTTTGGCTTCGGGGTTCCGATTCGACCGGCCCTCCATGCCCCTTGGACCCCTCAAGGAGGACTCTCTGAAGGCTTGGACACGGAGTGAGGTTGGATTCGGATCTTTCCTTAAGTTGTTTTGCAGACTGAGTCTGCCCAGTCGCAGGTCAGCAGAATTCGGGCGCCCCAACGGGACTTACCCTGCACGACTTGGAGGCAGGCCGCAGGGCCTTGCCGACACTTTTGCAGCCGTGCTTGAAAGCTTCTGCATTCTGCCGTACCGTAGAAATCGTGAAGCTGGCCGCCAGCACGATTACTGGGTTTCGAAAATTCAAGATCTTTTGAACACGTTACACTTGACTTCGGCAGGAAGTTGGGGAAGCGCAACTACGCTGCGCCGGCCATCGAAGCAACACTGCGGCAGCGGCAGCGGCTGCAACCTTCGCAGTCGGCGCCGCTGCTTCATGCGCGATCCCGGAGGCCTGTCTCTGTCTCGATCTTTCCTTCTCGCTCTGCCACAGACAAACAACACAGAGCCAAACGGAAACAGCTGGGGACAGCGAGATGGAACGCCCGTATCCAAGGCTTATCATCTTCTAGCTGCGCTGTCGTTGTGACTGGTCGGGTTCTGGCTCGTTGTGATGGAGCATGAGCTTTGCTCGGCATAGTAGCCGGAATGTCTCCGTCGTGATAAGTGATACGCATACGGAGGTGGTACATCAAAGAAGAGGGTTGAAGATTGAAGCCGCCCACTGCAGTGGATGGAACTGCCGGCTGGCATGTACCTGGCGTTGGTGTCGTTTGCCGCACTGATTGCCGGCGTGGGTGGCACCCTCCTGCTCTGCTACGATTGGGTGTCGAAGCTGCGCAGCATTGCCATGGGGATCCAAAGCGCAACTGAAGAAGGGTTTTCACGCCAAGGCTGGGCCCTGGGCCCTGGGGGCCGGTGGTGTTTGCGCCTCGAAGCAAAACAAGAAAGACACAAAAAGAGAGATTTTCTCCGGTACACATGCTGCAGACAGAACAGCATGGGGCAAGCTGGAAGTCGCTGTGTCCGCGAAAGAATCGCTTCGCAGGGATCTTTGGTCTCAGTTTCTTGCTGCTTGCATCGCTGCCCTGAGAGGACGCCGACTCCGACACCTTCTGCATTGGCCGTCGACGATTCACTGCATTCGCCGTCGTCGCCGTCTCCCAGAGAAGCAGAAGACGGACCCATCACGTTCAGAGCCTTTCGGACTGAGAGATTTTATGGGTTTTCAGCGCTGTGCAAGTTCCGAGTCCGAGGCGAATGATTTCGTTGTCAGAGGAAGCTCTGTCAAAGCTTTGCATGTGATATTGCTTCAGCGATTGCCATAAAAGACTTTTCGGTGAGGCCTGCAGCCCATCCTCTTCCAGTCGACCTGCGACGGGATCCAGGCTGTTTCAGGACGAGCCGGCTCCAAGCTTCCTGTCTCTCTTCCGGATTGAAAGCGCAATGCTTCAGCTGCGCCAATTTGCGATCGAAATTCGCAGGATTCCCCAAGCTACAGCAACGCGGAGACGGAGCTCTTGCCAACGCGACGCCCACGGGAGGCCGCCCTTTCGTCCCGCCGTCCCGCGTGAGTGTGTGTGCGCCACTGCGCTCCGTCGGCTATATCGAAGGTCTGGTTTCCAGTGCTTACGGGCGAGCACAGTGTAGAGATCCCCTTCCGCGAGATCCGGGAGAGCAGTCACGGGGAGGACGAAAATCGTAGTAACACCAACGACGCTTTATTCAGGGCCTGAGACCTGCCCCGCTTACGTCGTCTCAGGACTACGTTTGGTGGTTTCAGGAGCAGCGCTCCCAGCAACGGGCCACCGCCAGCCACGAGCTCGGCCAAAGACATGGCCGGAGGGCGGTCCATGTGCACTTTCGTTTGGTGTCTGAGGTCGCCAGTCGCTGAGACAAGGACGCCTCCAGATGCCTCCGTGGTCTGCCGCACGATTTTTTCTCTCGCAGACGTGCCTCAGGAGCCTTGCGTCCAGTCTCTGTCTGGCAGACTGAGCTCTCAGAGCTTGCCTCAACGCACCCGCCCGCCCGAGGCGGCCCCAGCAAGGTTGCAAACGTGCTGAGCTTGCAGTGACACCCTGGCATGGCAATGCGTGGGCCCGGCAGGCCTGGCTGGCAAGGAGCAGCTGCTTCACAGGGCTTCCTTGCTCCGGCACCTGGAGAGCTTGGGCGTCCAACAAGGCACCGCCGGCACGGACACACGGACGCAGCCACCGCCATGCTGTGCATTTCACTGCAGCAGAAGGTCCGAAGGCACTCGCAGAAGCTGTCTGCTGGTGCTTCGGTGGTGCGGAACGGTTCCCCGGTGTCCAACAGGGATGGGCTGGAGAATTAGCATGTTTCAGTGTGTTTACGCTACTTGACCGCTCACCTCGAAGTAGAAGATGTACAATCAGCCAGGATTTGTGGCATGTGAAATGAACATCCTTCCTCGTGCCAAGGGCCTCCCGTCAGCTTTCGAGATCCTTTGGCGACAAGGCGGGGTCACTTGCTTCGTGTTGGAGCTTGGAGGGGGAACGGCCGGAAAAAAGAAAAAAGGGTTGCAACTTTGATGAAGGCACACAACACAAGCTGTTTATGTTGGCCCGTAGGTCAGGGCTCTCATGGGCCCTAACAGAGGAAGGCTCAAGGCCCCTTCCAAGGATTTCGATGTCCTTGCAGAGTGGCTTTCACATCTCCTACTGTCGCTGGGACAGGTGGGCCTTCTCCAGCTTTCCGGGCTGCTGGCTTTACTAGATCTTGATCTTGGACTCCTCACGGGCGCGCAGGAAACGATTCCTTTATGTTGAGGGTTGGGGAGTTCGTTTTGCAGGTTGGGAGGGCCTCAGTGGCGCTGCAGTGTTGTGAGGAGCTGGCTGCGTTGGCGGAGCTCTTGGAAGAGAGCCGCCTGGCCTGTAAGAGTTCTTTTTTCCTGACGGCGCGGGCCGACAACGGCGGAGCCTTGCCTTGAGCCCGCCTCCCAGAAACCCTTCTCGTGGCGGCGCTTCTGAACGGCACGGCATCCACGGGTACCGGGACGACCGGGACGACGGGCGCCGCCTGCGCTCAGGCAACCTTGCAAGGGGCCGTCACAGAGTCAGAGCAGCAGCCTTCATTGATCCTTCTTCCTGTTCGCTTTTCGCTTTTCGCCTTACGCCTCGTCGTCGTAGTGCTTCCACGCCCCCTGCGCAGGCGAGGTGGGCCCAGGTCGGCCGCTTCCTCGCTCTGCGCGCGCTGCGGGAGCGCGCTCTCCGGCGCTGGTGCAAAGCCGAGCCAGGCCGACCGTGCGAATTGCGACTGGGAGCACTACTGCTACTAACCTTCGACGACGACTAACGACTACTACCACTACTACTGCTACAACAGAAATAACCACTACTAATTACTACTATCGCTACCACTGCCACTTGAGAATCAGAATAGGGCTTTAAAAAGGGCATCATCATCATCATCGTCGTCGTCACCGTCACCCTCACCGTCACCATCATCATCCTAAAGTTTTGTGTCAGCATCCAAGCTGCTGAGCATTGGCATCCTTGAATCATTCTGCATGCACGTGGGTCCCGCTGCCAGGAGGCGGTCCCACGACTCAGCTGCAGGCCCGTTTGCAGGCCAGGGCTTCGTACACCCGAAACTAGTAACTAGTCATTGGACACATACCGAATTTCGGTATGCGCGGTTTCGCAGCTTTGGCAGGCCATGGGCAATCTGGAACTGTCCTTCCGATCCTGGTTCTCTTCAGCCTGCGAGAGATCCGCAGAGGTTCACTGCAGGGAGTCCATCATCTCCTCGTGATTTCCGGTTTCTGGCTGCAGGGCGTCCTCTTCGTGAGTCTGCGTCTTGGCCGCACTTGCTAGGGAGCCCTCTCGGGGCTTCGGGGCTTTCGGCTGTGGGTCTTCCTCCCCAGCTTCGACCGCTTCCGCCGCTTCCGCTCAAGGAAGGCTTGGATTTCCTTCTTCGAGGATCTTGAGCCGCACGACCCTCTTCGGAGCGCACAGCTGCGAGAGGCTGTGCCCAATGCAGCACCGAGCGGCCTGCGCTTTTGGCTCTCTCAGTTTGTGGCAGGCTGGTGGTGAAGCAGCGCTTCAGCGAGCTTTCGAGGATGCCAGGAGGAAGCAGGCAGCCTTTCTGAACAGTTGGATGCCGCCACCCCTCTATCCAAGAAGCGATTTCCCGACACGGAGCTTCCAGTCACTTAACAGACACCACCCAGACGACATGGCTCTTTTCGAGAAGAGCCAGAGCTTGCTTGTGAAGCTCCAGGAGGGCGACTGCCCGGGTCTCTGCTTTGCCTCCTTCCTCCACGCCTTGGCCGGCCTCAACCAGGCACATCGGCCCTTTCACTGTGGAAGCTCAGGCGCAGTCGCGTTTTTGTTCGCCTTTCTCAAGGCCTTGGATCTGAGATGGAGCCCTCTCCTTGACTTCTTTCAGGAGAAGTGCAATCGGTGCAGTCTGTGGTGTGTTTTCTGTGTCTGCTGCGGAGATGCATCAAGATGCTTGCTTGCAGGAAAACGACTGCGGCACTCGACCACCCAAGCGGCAGGCGAAGCCGCAATCGGTCCCTGTCTCAACAGAATCTGTGTCCACCTCGGGTCTGCGAAGAGGGTCCTTCACATTGAAGTCTTGACAGACTGGACCCTCAGTTTTGCCTCAGATCACATCCGTGGCGGTGCTGCAGCACGCGTACGAGAACGCCTTGCGGAGGCAGCGGTATCTGGGGTGATTTGTGAGATGAGACTAGTGACTGTGCAGCAGTCCTTCCTATGCTCATCTTGGCCTCAGAACCTCTGCTTCTTGAGATTCTTCCGAGAGCCGGTTCCTTCCCTGCAGGCTCAGGTGATCCTGAGCTGCGAGGCCCGGGCTTAAGGAGATCTTCGACATATATAGCACGATCTTCACCGTAAGGTTGTGAGCTTTGGGAGATTTTTCACCTTCTTCAGGTGACCGGCATTTGGGAGACGGTAGGCGGTGAATTTTCGGATTGAGCGCAGATGGATGTATGTCAATTAAGACTGAAACAACCTCGCAAGACGGCTCAGGCAGCCAGGCAGTCTTGCTGAGAAGGATCCACCCGGAGATCTCATACCCCTCCATCGCTGGGCCGCCACACAACAGTCTTTTCTGAAGCTTAGACTCAGACTGCCGTGGGGTTGAGACTTTGAGAGCCATCCCAGCTGGACGGGCATCTGAGAGGTGCTTCCGGGGCGGTCTTGGAGGAGACGGACTTCCGAAGGAAGCTTCCGTCCGATCCAAAGGACACCTGCGATCTAGCAGAGTCTGGCAAGCTTGGTGAAAAGATGTGCTCATTGAATCGTACTGTCGTATCGATCTCATTCTCAGACCTTGTGTTCGAATGTGTCTGTGCAGGGGAGGAGAAGAAAGGCAGATCAAGCATAGGGTGGTAGAAGGCAAGCAAGAGTCAGAGAGCCCTATCTGGACGAAACCGGTGCAGTGGAGATAGCTAGCTCAGTTGGGAGAGTGGTTGTCGCAGGTCACATGGGACTTGGTCGTGGGGGTTGCGCGACAACCAGTGCCTACTAGCCGCTAGCCAGTGTGCTGCTGAAAACCTCCGCTTTGGACCCCAAGGTCCCTCTTCTCTACCCCTAGCTGGGAAGTGGGTTGTTGAAGGCGTGGGTCTCCCTCGAAAAAACAAGAGACAGCGAGAGTGAGATAGAGACGGATAAGAGTATCTTTTGAGTCCGGCACGGTTGGTGAACGGTGAGCCGTGGCTGGAGTCACGAGCCTCATGGCTGGTCTCTGTGCAACCCGAAGAGGTAGATTGTTAGATTATGAGATAGTACCGTCCATGTCCACGATGGGTGTGCAGGCGGTGAGGCTCGAGCCTTCGGTAGCCGTTTTCGTCCCGGGGGAGACGCGAAGGCCCAGGCCGGGCAATGCTGACAAGAACATGTTCCTTCTTAGCGCAGGAGGCGTCATGGGTGAAGGTTTAGGGTTTAGGGTTTAGGGCTTAGGGTTCAGGGTAAGGACTAGAAAGAGTGCGAATTCAAGACCAGACAGGTGTGACGTACCCAAGTTCGCAGAAAAATGGAATGCAAAAAATTCCTGCATGCTGCAGGAAGCGGGTATCGGGTCAGAAAAGGAAGCACGAGCGACACAACAAGGCAAGCTCACTGGTTCTAAAGACATCAGCTTTCCAGTGCAAACTAATAGAATAACAGGTGCTACCATTGACTGGAGGAAGGTGCTCTTAGTTAGTATAAGTTTGAGTTGCAAAATCTGGCACACAATACAACATGAAAGCCAGAAAAAGAGGTCCGGCATGAGAATTGATTTTAATAGTCGTTTTTGAAAATAGCACCCCGGAAATCCAACTAACAGATGCGAAGGCAGCAAGCTCTACTGAGCCAACCAGATGACAAAAGATTTACTGCACTAGGCAGTATTAGTTGATACCCCAACAAAGCGGCGTTTACCGAATCTTGACAACTCAACTGTAATTTGAACCATTCGGCAGTCAAGTTTGTTAAAGGCGTTAAAGCAAAATACTGCACTATATAAGGGTATCTATATATTTGTATATCTGTACATATGTACATATATATATATATATATATATATTTGTAGTGTTCATATCCAAGATGATGGAAACGAGAAGTGAGATCGGATTCATGCCAGATGATATCAATGATGTCGAGCTGCTTCCCGAGCGGGACAGTTTAACATCTGATATTGACGAGGGTATGAAGTTATGAGCTTATAATACAGACAAAGTTGTGTCATGGGGGCCCGTTTCGTATCTTATGTCGGTGGTGGCCGCCTGACGGGAGAGATTGCAGACTTACGAAGACGATGAAGCGCTTTCAGTCATAGTGCTAAAGACTGTACTAGTATGAGTTTTCCCCCAGATAAATGATATGGGAGACAATAACCTAAATGATACCCAGCTCTGCCTCTGCAAGTCGCTGGAATGTTAGAAGAAATATACGGCTTCTCGATCCTGAACTGTACAGCTGGCGCTAGGATGGAACTGATGAGCTGTTGGCTGACTTAAGGTTTCAGTCTGTTTCATATCGTTGTTGAAAGTTGGTGCAAAGCATTGCATTCGTAAGTTGGGAGTTCGAGTCTATGCAGACCAAAGAAGAAGGTGCAAAAATTCACCACGTACTGCATGTCGTAAAAGAGAGGTTTCCATCCAAAAGAACTGACTTCTTCTATGAAACTGTTTACACCGTTCAAGGTTTTTGAGTCTGCATATAAATAGTGTTGAAGTATTGATGCGTATTGCAGGACACTGCTCTCCTGTGTGGATAGAATGCATTAGGTTCCGTTCCGTCCAGCCAGACTCCTACAAATTTGGTTAGGGTGGTTGGCAAGATGATGAACAACAGTTACTTTACCAAGTGTTTTGTTTTGCCTTTTCTTCTTTCCGAGTTTGGATTATTGTATGCAGGGTTCCAATTGTTTGGGTCAGTGCCACTGGATAGTATTCCTCATTACAGGCCTTTTTCTTTCTGCACCTGATCTCTTACATCAGTTCTGAATCTCTTGACTGTTGTCCATGTATACTCAACTTTCGCACTCCTGCTAATACACGCGCTTTCCAAGGACTCACGGTACATATTTTTTCATGGTCTGGATCAGGACAGTCTTTTCCCGACTAAAGAAGCCATGCATACCATTGTTGAAAGTAGGTTAGGAGGTAAGATTGTAGTTACGGTCCTTCTAATACTTGTGTTGGGGTACGCCTCCCGGTTCTATTTTGGGAATATCTTTGCTCATCAGACTCGTGCCGAATCAGCGATTATGCTTTAAAGCTTTATGCAAGAAACCCCCTGTTGGTTGCGAGCAGCCCGATAAGTACTCTGAAGGTGTGAGCTCTCGTCTCATTCAAACGACAAGATGTGTTGATTGATATTGTCCTGGTATCGAGCAGCCCGATACGTATTCTGAAGTTCTGAACTCTCACCGAAACGACAAGATATGCTGATATAACAATCATGGGCTTGAAGGCCGATTGTTATTGTCCTTCGACATGTGCAGACAATGGACCCGAATCGATCTCACGAACGGGAAACCGTTGCTTGCTTATCTGAGCAAGCGACAGTACCGTGCGAAGCAGGGTAGGAGTTTAAGAGTATTTAGGGCAATTCAAAAACAGTGGCATGTTGGTGACTGTCTACATTCCAAGAAACATGCAAGGCTAAGCGGAGAACTTGGCTAAACTGATCACACCGTTCATGTTTTACATGCAAGATGAGAGACTCAATCCCGGTAATGCGTTAATACAACACTTCGGAGACAAGAGGAATAGCAACAACAGATACAACATGACAGATGAAGAGCAGTTAGAAATTCTTGCTGGGTTTAAGCACACGCAGCAATTTTGCTCAATGGTGAGTTTCTTGAGACAGGATGGCAAGGGTGTGATTGAAACTCCTATGAACAAAGAGGCTACTAGTAGTGTGCAAGCACAACAAGCCAGTGAACGCAACTCGTGCTGCGATGTTTCGGATAATGCAGTCATGAGTCATAAGTAATTACAGCATAAAAAGCATATCGCACAAGTGTGCAATAAGAGTTTATGAGTCATAGACACACATTCTGACTGCAGCCTTGACTGCTATTCCTGGTAAACGATGAGCCAGAAGATTTGCCAACTTCGGGACGACAATTTTCAGCTTGGGGATTATGGATAAGGTATTGTTCTATGCCTATGTGGGCTTTATTTGGGCGTGATATTGGGGGGAGTATAGGGAGTAATACTTTGATGGGGTGATTGGTGGTTTCCTTCCCCAAATGGGCAAGGCTTCCGCTAGCTAAAACACCGGCTGCTGTTCCAGGTTGCCAGCATGTCGATTATGGCCTACCACGCGCGTCGCAAGGCGTCCAGGGCGTTTGGGCCTGAGCAGAAGCTTCAGTCTTCTTGCTAAGCCCGGTATAAATAAAACATCGATCTTTGCAGATGTTTTGAAGCTTGATGCTCGAAGTCAGATGTTCTCTGATTTTTTCGATCTTTGCAGAAACGTCCCAAGCTTCGATCCTGTGTCCGACAGAGGTTCGCCCAAGCGTCGCTGTGGAACCGCGTGCAGTGTCCTTGGCTGACCTCTTCTGATTCTGACATGGGTGCTGCGTGTGAATGCGGAGTCTTCAGCAGCTGTTAAACAGCATGCAGACTGGTAACCAAGCCAAGTTCCTCTTCCGTTTCCCTACCAGGAATACAAGTTCGTGCCGCGTGTCATGAGGAATACTGCAGTGCACTGATCGACACGCCACTTTTCAATATGATTGCCTTCCAGTCTTTAAAATGCAACAAAACTGTTCTCTGCGTCTGCAGACTCCGGTCCCAAGAGCCCCAAAGCCCGCCTTATCCGGCCCTATCCTGCAAGGGCCGAGAGGCGGCTCAATGACCTGAAGCAGTCGCTTGAGGCCTCCAACAGGGTTGGCTGGTGCGGGTAGCTCACTGCTACGGTTGTTTTGGAGGCCGTCGGGGAGATGATAGGCGCTGCAGCAGACTGGTGACAAGAGGATGAGTGTGGCAATGTTGAGAAGCGCAACATCGGCAATCGTAATACAGATGTAGTGATGACGACGACGATGATGAAGATGATGACAGATGATGATGATGATGACAACGGTTTTCATGATACTTGGTTTCTCTTCATCTTCTTCTTAACGAGCATCCCTGCCAACAGTGAATAGTCCAGGTCATCAGATCAACTCTTTTCTCATCATCATCGCCATCACCACCACCATCATCATCATCCCCAGCCTCGTCATCTTCGTGAGCTTTTCACATTCATCCCCAACCTCGCTCTCACCTTCAAAATCATGTCCACCTTCATCTTCACGATCAACACCAACTTCTTCATCATCACCATCACCAGCATCATCAACAAAAACACCTCTATCACCATCATGAGCATTAGATTCGCAAGCGCTGCCCCCTACCGCCACTCCCGCCCCACCCACCAAAGGAGCACCACTCCCACCACCACCACCACCGCCGCCACCACCACCACCACCACCACCATCATCAACATCACCACGGTCATTATCGTCATCGTCTTTTGCATCGTCACAACCACAAGCCTCATATTGACAATCATCGGGACCATCATCATCATCATCACCATGCTCATCATCACCACTTGGGCACTGCTATCATCATACTTACTGTCATTTTTCGTCTCATTGCCCTCAGCATCCCCGTACCATCTACATGTCAGAGAAAATGTTTCGACATGTCGAAGGACAGGAGTTAGACCTCAGTATTGACGTCTTTGTTGTTCTTTGCTCTTATTGTGCAAGTCGCGACTCGCAGTGCTGTTCTTGTCATCCTGCCGTTGATGCCAAGAGTTTCTAAACCCTTGGATGTGAGTATAAGACCCGTCTGATAGCCTATATCCGGACACTTATAACCCCACTTGTAACTACCCTAAACCCGAACACCCTCTAGATCCCTTAAAGGAACCCCCCCAAAACAGCACCGGGCCAGGCACCTGTTCCGCTGCCCAGCGTCGGTTTGCTGCCCAACGTGGCCTTGGCAATGGACTCCAAGGCCTCGGCGTCGGTAAAGTGGCTTACTGTGGTTCGGAACTGAGGCGAGAAGATCCCTTTCCGTTTTGAAGATGTCGTGCTTTAAGCTTGAAGCCGTTCTGGGTGATGTGATCCTTTCGGGTTGGGACCATCATGGGAAGCACTGGAGCTGCTGGACTTTGGCAGCTTTGGTGCACCAAACGTTGCTGTGTAGACCATTCCTTTGCTTGGATGATGAATCCTCACTGTGCAGGACAAGTTTGTTACCGAGCACCGGTGGTGGACTGAGATTACTTCGATAACTCAGTTCCTTCGACTGTCGTTGTCTTGCTGCATATGGACGGCCGGTTTCGGGGGGCTTCAGCTCCTTCCGAGGGTTGGGCAGTGATTTAAGCATGTGTCTGGGCCTGGTCATTGGCAATTTCGGCGAAATGTGGGTGGCTCTTATCAGGTTTTTGGATGTCGGCCGTGAGGCGAAGGAAGGCAGGTTCAGAAAGCAGAGAAACGTGCATGCATCCCTGGTGACTAGCCTGTGTAGCTGCAGGGAGCTCATCCGTAATTACTTCAACTCCAACACGTGGAGGGTTGGCTCCGCGCAGGGTTAATTCTGGGCCACCACGAGCTTTCAAGTCTCACTGCGATGCATAGTCGAATCTGTTGGAAGTGACTCGGTTTGTGCAGTAGCATGTGTTGGCCTCATCAAGTTGACAAGTTACTGCACGCACATCGGTCACAGCCACTCGTAATCCAATCAGCTAGCGGAAGCTTTGGGAACATGCGTGAAACCTCACAAACTCCTGTCTGTTGCTGAACCTGCCTTCTTGCAGACTCGAGGCCGGTAGAGAAGATGGATGCAGAGACCGTGCAGCCAGCCAGGCGCATTCGGGATGTCCGCAAATCGGCGTAAAGATGAGCACCTGAATAGTGCAACAACAGCTTCTTTTCTGCTGCTGTTGCTACTACCACTGCTACTGCTACTCCTGCTCTACTACTAGCACCAGTAGCACTATCACCAGTAAGGGTTCGGGTACAACAGTCACAATGACCACCGGCGCGATAAACAATAAGAAACTGGTTGTCAGAACACGTTGATAGAAAACCATGAGTAGTGATCATGATCGTGCATGATGGTTAACAATATATGAAATAAGATTATACGAGTAAGAACATAACAGTAATCCAATATAACAGTTCTTATCGGCCCATTTTTCCAGGTCTGGGGTCGAGCCCCACAAAGAAGCTCAAGCCTGGCGCTGGCGGCCCGACGTCCCGGTGACCTCTCGGAGTTTTCGAGCACAGGGTTATTGCCTTTTGGGAGCGTCGCTTTGCAGCTTTTCTCCCAGGCTCTGGTCCTGAGAGGAGGGGTTCTTCAGAAGTGACCTAGCTACGTAGCTGAGCACCTGTCCTCCTCCCGTCATGCCTCTTTGAGGCTCTAGTTGAGCCTTGGGGCTCCTCTACTATGTTGGAGTTTCAGAAGCTGTTTCGGTTGGATTGGAGGAGGCAGGAGCTTTGTAAAGCACTGAATAGCCAAATGTGCTTTCGGAACAAGAGGGCATTGGATCTGAATCCGTGGCCCTTTGCGCAAGCACGGACTTTGAGAGCAGTGCTGTTTATCCAGGATTTGATTCTCTAGCTTCAAAGGTCCCCGAGACATCCGAGCACGGCTCATTGCCTGCAAGCATCAGTCTGCTCTGGATGCAACGTCCGTGGAACGCTGCAAAAAGCATGCCCGGTTTCACCCTTTTCAACACCATGATACCAGTAGCGGTGTTGGAAGGACGCGCACAGACGGCTGCCTACCTTCAGCATGCCGAGAACCGAGCACCCAAAACACCGAGAGTCCATCCGAGAGTTCAAGATCGAAGCTTGAAGGGAAGCTGTGAATTTCAGGCTCTCCCCATGTGTGAGCCCCGACTTCCGCTGAGTTGGAGGTGGTCCTTGCTCAACCTCGAGTATTCCGTACTTAGTGCGCCGAGCCCCATTTCAGGAGAGTCTTTTTTCGGGGGTAGAGCAAGAGAAAGCTTCTCCTCCCTGCAGCATTCTGCACGTTTGTCTTCATCCACCATCATTCGAGAGGACTGATGGTGTCCCAGCTCTGGGTGCTGCGAAGGCGACTGAAAAGGCCGAAGCATTCATGTTGGCCTTTGATTCCCATGCCGTGTGAGGCCTTGTTGTGGCAAAGGCGGGCAATTTTGCGGACCTCTTCCGCGTGCATCTTTCCTTCAAGCCGGCTGTGACACTTCGGCCCGAGCTTGGTTAAGGAAAGGGAGGCGTGCAGAGCCCGCGGTGGTAGATCCCACGGCGCCACGGGTGTGGACCATGGACGGGGAGAACCAATTTGCGAACTACAAAGGAGATGTGCTAGACGCCATCGATGCGCGCTTCGATGACCTCGAAGACAATGTCGCCGTATTGCAGGATGCCGTGGCCACACTGCAGCGGATCATTGCCGAAAATGGTGCGCCCTCACTATGTCGCATTGATGTGGACGCAACATACACATCGGAATTCACATCCCCATCTCCACTAGGACCTGCAATAACGGCAAAAAGAGAGTCCGAGGTGACCAATGAGGTCTCCGGCGTAGCCAACATCCGATCTTCTTCTTTCTCACCAGGGTCGCCCAACACGGACAAGTCGGACGGTCGTGTAAGCGGCCGAAGGATCACGCAACTGATTGCCAGCGAAGTGAAAGACGTTGATGAGTCCATCTTGAACAATCAGACACAGGACATCCCAGTGCAGCTAGGTAGGCGGAGGCGCTTTGGGGCTAAGGCTTAAGGGGCCTGAAGGAGCTTGAGACGTAGGGGATTCGAAGGGGCTGCGTTTCAGGAGTACTACACCTTTGGCGAGTCGACCTGGGACCTCTTCATGTTCATCGGTACCGGGGCATTGGGTCCTTTCGGCTCCTTCCAGACCTTCCTTCTTGCGGTGGTGAATGTCGCCATGCAGATTGTCTTCGTAGGTATCGCCTACTTCAACTTCATCGACCCGGAGATCGACGAAACAACGGTTCAGGATGCGACACGCTGGCGGCGCTCAGCAGGCCATTCCCTCAGCTCCTATGATGAGGTGTCACGCTCTTCCCTGGCGGAGCGGGTGTGTTCCCTGGACAAGTCCTTGCAGGAGTCCGGCATCCAGATGGCCCTCTATGAGCACATCGGAAAGTACCTGAAGCCAGATGCCGAGGGCTTTGAGGCCTTCTTCACGGGCGAGCTGCTCTGCATCGTTGCCTTGGTCTGCTGGTACCTCATGGTGGCCAAGGAGAGAAGAAGCGTCACACTTAGAAGCATCTAATCACATTCTATCATGTTCTATCACATTATATCATAGAATCATATTCCTAACATTGCTAGTGTAGGGTCCTTGCTGTTTCTTACTCTCCCTGCTTCTGAGCTCCGCTCTCTGCTTGCTTCGCTCTTCTGAGCAGAGCACAGGAGGTGAGCCACGCCTTGGCTTTGCACCGCTCGGTCTCGGCCTTGCCTCGGGGGCCGACGACCTTGGACACCCGGGAAAACCCCTTTACGAAAGTCACGCACTACCGTTTGAAGGCCAGGGCTTAGGGCTTAGGCTTTTTTACAGAAACCTGTGATGCATTCTCTTTTGAAGGCCATGGGCGGAAGGAGAAAGGCCGTATCCTTCTTGCTACTCCTCTATCGCCTCTTCTCCGCTGCTGTCTTGGTCTATGTGGGCACCTTCTTTCTGGTCTACACCGTGGACGTCACGGAGCTTATCCTCAATGCGCCTCCGCACGCATTCGGCTTTGCTTTGCCCCTTGTATGAAAGTGTTTCTTCGCGCTGTGGTTTTTGATGAGGCAGTTGCTTTGGGCATCATCCTGGACATCGATGACCTGCTTTTCGATGCTCTAGCCACCACACCTGGACGACATTTGGTCCATCAGCTCGACCCATTACTTATGCCATCCCTGCCGCGATGGCGCGGTGCCGATTCGAAGTCATTGTTCATGACTTTTGTCATTCCCACCTTGCTCTTGGTCGTGTACGCCACCATGCTTCAGCCAATGGTGGGCAGCCTCATGGAGGTTCAGACTGCGATGTGCGGAGGGCAGACAAGTTTTGTGTGGATGCAGGATCAGCGCCGGATCATGTTGATGGCGCCAACCTTTGGCGGTGGGTGGGAGGTTGATGATGAAAGCGTGAAGACGATTGCTGTCGGGGAGGCTGAGAGGATAGGTGTTGATCTAGAGCAGAACGACACAAGATATGGGATCTGGTTTACCGACGTTGCACTTCTTGCAACTTCAGCAACTCGAACTCTGGATGAGATCTTGGATGCAGAGAATCCAGGTTGTGGTGACGTTGGCAACGAGGGCAAAATGTTGAACTACCTGCAGTTTTTCTTGAAAGACGACAGCATCCGCAACTGCAGTGATGCCAAGCGTTACTGCACCTCCATCACCAAGCTGCCCACTTACGAGGGTGATGGAGGTGTAGGATTCGTCACTCGCATGCTGTGTCCAGAGACATGCGGTTGCACCACTCCGGCTGGTGAGTTCATGAATGTCCAGGGTTGCTCATATGGCGCTACGTCCCGCCCGTGCCAGTTGCACAACACCTGGAGGGCTGTTCGTAGAGAGAGTGTCTGCAGGGAGAGAAGTGCAGCAGAGCTTCGTGATTTGCCTCAGTGGGCGGCCTGGGTTGAGCAGCTTCGTTTGTACTCCCGGTCAGAGGCAGACCTGAAGGGCAGAGCGGAAGCTGAGAAACTCGCACAGGCCATGTGGGACTACGGATGCCAATTTGGAGCGAACTTGACAGCGGAGGGCATCGACTACGGAAGCTGCACGACTTGGAACACGAACGTCTTTGAGTTCGAGATGAAGACGTTGGAGAACATCTGCCCTGAGACCTGCACGTGCAACACAAACAAGAGGACCACAGCATGTCCCAGACCTCAAGGGCGGACCTGCGAAAACATGGAGGACTGCCTCTGGTATCAGGAAAGGCACTGGTGCCCCACCATCACGGATGCTGTGGACGGAACCTTCGTGGGTGAGATCCTCAATCTCACCGTGGCACAGGATCATTGGGCCTCGGTGCTGCTGGGGCTCCAGCAGACCTTTGCTGAGATCGCTGGAAATGGGATCGAGGCTGGTATGGTTCATCTCATCACGAACTTCCCAGAAGAAAGGAGACTTTCAGAAGGGCGTGAGCTCCAACTCGCGCTTTCAGGCAGCGCTAGCATCTTCTTGATTCCCGACGGCTTGGTCAGGAACGCCATCCGAAACATCGTGTTCGCAGTTTCTATCGAAGATTTGAACTCTTTGCTGATGGCAAAGCTTGCGAATCTCTCGGTCCCTGAGCTCGGAATGTCTCTGAGCAGCTTCGTTCGGGCCTAGAAATAGGACCCTAGGCGGCCTAGGCAAAGGAGACCCAAGGAGTGCAGGTCTGAAGGAGTGTAAGTCTCCCAGATCAGGAGCCCAGTGAGGTGTCAGGAGTCAGAAGTCAGAAGTGTAAGAAGGAAGTGGACGGTCTTCGGCAGGTGTTCGTTTTGCTCGGGCTCAGGCCTCCTTTGCTGACGGCTTGCTTGTGCACTCCCTGGTTACCAGTTTGAAGGTGCTGTAGCTATCTGTAGCTGTTTCTGTCGAATGTTTGAAGTCACACGGGATGCTGACACCCAAACGGGCAGCATGAAAGCCGTGGGTATTGCGGCTTGGACATGCCGGGCCCCAGACGGAGCGGTATGCCATGTATGCTTTATCTCAGTCAACAAGACTTGCTGCGGTAGCTGCTAGTTCGGTGTAACGAGGTTTGGACAGTTGGAGAAGTTTAGATGTGGAGCTTTGCTATTTGTTTCCCAAGTCCCGAGCCACGAAAGCGCACGGTTCGGAACCGCATACTAGCCTCATCTGACGTAGTGAAGGAAGTCGCCGAGACGGGTTTCATTGCAAGACGGGGGCACTTGCCTTCCCGAAACACACGAAGAGGTTGACGACCATAATCGTTCAGGAGCACCGTGTGACATGATCGAATGCCTGGTTGTTGACAACAGTAGGAGGCAGACCGGGAAGAAAGGCAGACTAGCGAGGAAACAATGGCCTTCTAAGACAGGAGCATACAGGAGCACTTTGTGCATTGATGTCCGAACGCACTGTTGTTCTTGAGCGGGAAGTTGTAAGGTCAAGCAGTCACTGCTTTGCTGAGCTGGTCTCTGAGAGTCTTGCGACGGTGACGCGTCTTCGTCAAGTCCACCGAACCCGGTTTTACATGTGAAGTGGGAGCCCCGGACTGATCAACAACGCCGAAGACTGAAGCGGAAATACCGGGACGTCGTCAGGGGCTCCCAAAGGTAGGCTGTAGTGTTGCAATGCTCCTTCTGGCACTGTTTCTGTCCGTGGCCGGCGTGGGCCACGCGAGTGTCTGCAGGACGCAGGAAGAGACCCCGGGAGCCTTCGGGATTGTGGCCGACGAAGATGTTGGCAGCCTGCTCCAGCGCGGGAACCTCTTGAGAGTAAACATCTCATCACTGGAGCACCAGGTAAAGCCGGAGAAGCGCCTCTTGAAGCGAGCCGTACCGAAGCACTGCGGGCCTGCCGGTATCACATCGGCTGTTCTGGGGTACTATGTGTTGATCCTGCTGTCATCTCTCTGGGCCGCACTCAGCGGCACAGATGGAGGGCTCTCCGAATCCGAGTCCCACGGCAGAGGGAGCTGTTCTCAACTGTGCCAAGTTCTGCAGGGCTGTGCGTGGCAACTGCTGTTGGGGCTGGCGACTGGCTACGTGGGCAAAGAGAATCCACAAGCAGCTTCGCTACTGACCTGCCTCGTGTCTGGTGCAGCCCTGGGAGCCTGCCAGGCAGTCTCACGTTCCAAGCCAGTTCTCTACTCTTTTGCTTTTCCTGTTTTAAGAACCGCGTCGTTCTGTTGCAATGGATCGTCTTCCTACAAGTTTGATCGTCTGAGGTCCCTGGCACGAAGGAGGGTGGGGAACCAAAGCTGGCTTTGAGCGTCAGAGGTATGGAACCTACCGAACAGTGCAGGGGCATCCTCACCAATATGTGGCATATGCATTGCTGCGCATGGAAGCCTGTCGTTCCCAAAGCTTCTCGCTGCATGAGGCTTTACTTTCCCTCATGCTCTGTGGATATGCTTCGTTCAGTTTGCCGCTGGCCTCAGTCAGAAGTTGTGCAGAGTCTTCGACTTTTGTGAGCGCACTGACACAGGCTAGCGTCTTCATTCTGCAGTCCAGGGGGTCTGCAGGCGGGCGCTGGTTTGATGGTTGAAAGGAGCTGTGAGTTGGGTGACTGCAAGCCGCCTTAGGCCTTGAGCTTGCCTGGATGCTGTCCTTGCTGGCCATGCTTCTGTCAGCTTACATTGCCTATGCCTCCTGGCACCGTGAGACAACACTGGTTTCAAACTCTGGCTTCAACCACCCACTGCTGACCCGAACTAAGGTCCAACTCTTTCTGCGCACTCAGACTGGGATGTGCAATTGGATCCTCACAGCATGCAGCACTAGTCTGCTTGTCACACTGACGCTGGCCTATGTGCAGCTTCTCGGGGAAGGCGAGCCCAGCTGCTTTGAGGAGCGAGGCTCCAACTTAGCTTAAATCGATCCAAGCCCTTTCAAAGACCTCACAGCCGACCCTGAGCCCTCCTTGGCCCTCATTTTCGCAGGACTGGGAGGCGTTTTTGGCGCTGCGCTTCAACCGAGCCTGTGCCTTCGGCGGCGCCGCATTCATCTGCATCATGTACGTCTTCCACGAAGTCGCCCCGGGCTCCTTGCCTTCGGAGAGTGGAACTGTGGAGCTTTGGCGCAGTCAGCATCCGAGGTTCTGCGATCCAACGTGTTGCCTTCCTGGGGATCTTTATTTGTCTCTTGCGGCTTGCTTGCAACACGAAGCCTGCAATCCAGAAAAGCTCCCGGCCGTCCTCGCCTGCATTACAGATCGCCGGGAATCCCATAGCCATGGTAGGGACGCTTCCGTACAGGACTCCCGGCTTATCTGCTATCGGTGGCAACTCGGAAGGAAAAGAGAGAGAGAGAGAGAGAGAGAGAGAGTACGTTGGAAGTAATCATGCCAGTGGAGTTGATGCAGCAACACGACGCAGCAAGCAAAGCTTGCAGTTGAAACACAGCTCACCCTCAACACGGGGGAGACAGAAGAGGCCTGGGGGCTGCTTTCGGTTTCAGGGACTGCAGGGCGTTTCGACGGTGCACTTCCAAGCCTCATCTGAAACTGAGCCGTAACAGACCTGGGACTCGGTGCGCATTCGTGCGCGGGGGGGCTTGGGCTCTCCTTGTGCGCATGCAAGCAAGAGAGAGAGAGGGGGAGAGAGAGAGAGAGAGAGAGAAAGAGAGAAAACAGAGTCAAATAGTCTCAAACAGCTATGCACCGGGTGGAAACATCCTTGTCTCACACTTTTCCAATGCCCCACGAACACAGGGAGGCCCTGGCGGCCGAGGGGTTTCGTACACACCTCATGCCCTGCAGAAGAAGAGGGAGAGAACTGCAGAGAGCACAACTGCATGCTTTTGGCAGACAGGCGCGCATTCTAATCGGGGAACACCCCGGGGTCGCTTCAACATCACTGACAGGCATGTCTACATGGTGTTACTGAAGTTCCTCTTATGGTATCGAGCATGTTGAAGTTGATGTTGATCAAGACTTGGATCCCGCTTTCCCTTGTCATGCATGTATGTGCGATCTCCTTTTTCTGGATATCCTAGCCTTGGAATGTGCTTTTCTGAACTCTTGGCACCCACAAAAGGCGGAACCGCACGTGTGCACGGTGGGGATGCAACTCCCCATCCCAGCCCTGGCGAAAGAGAGCGAGAGAGCGAGAGAGAGAAAGAGAGAGAGAGAGAGAGACCCCCTCATGCCCCGGGGAAGAAGAGAGAGAGAGAGAGAGAGAGAGAGAGAGAGACCCGCCTCAAACCTCGAGCAAAGCAAAGCAAAGAGAGAGACCATGCAGTATCGGGTGGGCTTGAAGCTCGGGGGATTTGACCGCCCCCTAAAACTGGAAGAAGAAGAACATGGAGTGGGATGTGGCGCCTTCTCCTGTCGAGGCCGAGACCTCTTGTATGGACCTTGGGGAATGTTCGGTGGTGACAAAGACGACACGAAGCTCACGCCCTTTGGATACATCGTCCTCGCGCTGGCTCTGCCCGTCGCTCTGTGGATGTGCATTCGCGGCGCTTGGCCCGGGAGCAAGCTTCCAGGGCCTGAAGTCGTGGGCATGGGATGGGAGCCTGGGCGGCCCTGAACAGTGAAAGAGACCAGCGCCGTTTTTTTGGTCAGGGGGGAGGCGGGCGGGAATGGGGGACGCCCAAGGATCACCGCGGCCCGTCTGCGACCCTGGCATTGGTTCGAATCCTCCTTGCTTACTGGTTAGTGGTGAATCCAAATTGGGGCGGGGCCACGCCCATCATGATGTGGTACGCACCAGATCAGTGGCCAGGAGGCTTCGTTGGTGTTTGAGATTCCGACCTTGAAGCTACAGAGTTTGTTTGCCATTATCCTGCCAGGAGCCGTGATGACTCTGCTGCTGGTGTTGGCGCAGGCGTGCCTGGCCTTGGGCATCTTCTCTTCTGCGGCCGCGGCTCTGGCAGCTGCAGGCTTTTGCTTGGGTTGCACCCGGGACGGCTTCGACCCTGATTGCCCGACGCGACCTGTCAGACAATGTGAGTTTTGGAAAGTGTCTGGTCAGAGAGTCTTCAACTGCTTGTGTATCGGCTGGGTGGCGACAACTGTGAGGCAACATGCAGCGATGGTGCTCCGTGGCCTGAGTTTGGCTGTTTGAAAAAAGATGTGGGCGTCTCCCAACTTGAGCAGAGCCTCAGTTTTCCCGACTTTGCAAAGGCTGCTCATCCTGGCCTTCACTCCCTGTGACGATTGCTTCTCCCTGAAGTCGGTCGCGGAGCGCTTTCTGCCAGGGTGGTGCACCCGTGGCCGTGGTGGATGGCTGAAAGTTTTAAACAGGTTCAGGCTTTCACAGCAAGGGAGGGTCAAGGGGCCATTGAAGCCCACGCGAGAATCATCGTCGGCCACTCTTCTCATTTTCTGTTCATGCCACCCCCACTAGGCCACTACTACTCCATCAACTGGGACCCCTTGCACGGGACACACGGCTTTTGTGGTGCTGGAAGTGGTAGTACTAGTACCACTTGCAGTCGTGTTCGGCTAGCAGAGTGGAAGCAGCAAAGCCCCTTCAAGCTGCGCTCAGAGTCCGAAGATGTTAGGTGGCGGCTCTCTCTGGGCTTTGTCCTTGCTGCGCCTGCAAATGAGCCTCCTTTACTTCTGGGCCGGCGAGTTCAAGGCCAAAATCTCCTGGGTGCAGGGATCGACGTTGTATCGCGACGTCGCCATCCTGGATACATCTCCTCTTAAAAGCCTCTGGTATCTTATCTTCTGGACGGAGCCGATTCGCCGAAGCGTTACCACGGTCCTGGCTTGCTCCGCCCTCGCTCTGGAACTTACGCTGCCCTTCTTGCTCTGGAGCGACTCGCTGACAACCCAGATCCTTGAGCGTTTTAATGCCGTAAGCCGCAAGCCCAAGGCAAGAGCTTTCACATCTACGCCGTGGCCCTCGCAGCCTCCATGCATTTCGGAATGACACTGCTGCTCCACAGAAAGAGAAGTTCTTCTGCAGTCTCTAGCTTCACCTATCCTGGCTCTAGGGCCGATCAGCCGTCAAGGTGGGCTTTAGATCCCTGACCTGAAGGCTGGCGGGCCAACTCGGAGGCTTCTCCCAGGTCTGCTGGATCACCCTCTTGGGCAGCCTCCAGGCACCCTGCTCTCAGCCAATGCTGTTGCGAGTTGGAGGATGTATGGTGCAGCAAAAACTTTGCACGACAAGCGAGTTGTGATGCAGCAGTCCAAAATAGCAATCCTCAGCGGACTAGCAACTTTCGGAACACGAAGTTATGCAGGCGGATCTATACAGTATGAGCAGTGCAGAAGCAGCCTAGCACAGGCACACACCCGTGAGTGGCCACTTCGCAGGACAAGAGAGTGGAGGATCTGCTGCAGGACCCGCGGAACTTCGCTATTGGAGTGCCTTGGCGGAACCGAGAGGACAAAAGTGCCACGTTTGCAGACTGTACCTAAAGGAGCCTGTGGCTCTCAGCTGCAGCGTCTGCTCACATCTCCGTGGTCTCGCATAGCGCGTGCCGAACAGGTGCTTGGAGGCATAGCCCTGATGGCCTGCATAGGGGATGCCTTCGAAATTCATGGTGAGCCGTATGGGACGCTGGACCCAGCTGGGCTCAACAAAGAGGCTGACAAAGTGATGATCGATGAGGGCATGTGAGTTGGCGGCCTGTCGCATGTTGTGAAGCCTCCGACACGTGACAGACTGCAGTGGCAACTCATGCGGGAAGCGATGCTCCGGCGGAAAAAGTGTGGATAGCTGGCGTGGGAAGTCAGGGGGCTCTCGATGTTTGCAGGTGAACGGTCAATGGCAAGCACTACTGTATCCGATAGCTTGATTTCAGGGCCGAGAGCCTAGACATGACGGTACAATCCAGCGAAGAGGCGCTCGAGACATGGGACCTAGCTTTCTAAGCTTTAACCAAAAACTCAGAGCCGCGTGTCTATATCCAGAGCGCCATGCTCCAACTTTGACCTGCCATGAGAGATGCTTCCCGGCTGGCATGGAGATCCGATTTCCCAATTGTAGACGGAGCCTTGAGAGTGCGCCCAATTCAATGTTGCAACTCACCTCGGAGCTTGAGGCGGCTGTCTTCCTCCATCGCTTTCACCTTCATACTTGCCCGAAACTATAGATTCAGGGACGGACGTAGTCGAGGTTGTGCGAGTGCTGCAAGTACGATGAGTCCGACTCCGATTTCTTGCGCACGGCGTCGCGGCAGCAAGTCAAGAAGAATGTGGCAGACTGGAATCGACATGCAGCGCCTCGCAAGCAAAGTGCCTTACAAGGAGTCGATCCAGGCCAATCTTGCGACCTTTCTGCAGCCAGCCTCTAAAGATGACTCTAATGTTCCCCCAGGCTTAGAGTGTCCTTTCGATCAGCACCGTGTGTCTGGCAGCTAGCTGCAACTTCACCACAGAAGCTGGCTCGAGGAAGCGGCGGACGAAGTGGCTGCCAAACTCAAGAAGCGTCAGGATCCGGGAATGCGATCTCAGAGAGGTTCTGGGCTTCTAGATTCTAGATTCCAGATCGTTTTGGTGCAGGCAGTCTTCCACGAATCCTTCCGAACGGAGCACGGCTGTGAGCGGCTGCATGTTGCGCACAACGCAGGATCTGGCGTTGTATCGCATCGATGAGGAGGAGCTCTTGCCGTCTGTCTGCCGAGATATTGGCATGGATTCGTTCAATGATTGTGCATACTGCCAACATAAGTCGTGCCCCCCAAGGTCGTGTCAGCATGCTCTGCCTGGCAGCTTGCAGTCCCGTGAGGATGCACCATTCGCGGAGATAGACTCGGAGTCCTTCGAGATAGAGGTTGGCCTTGATTTTTTGGTAAATATCTTGAGAAACTTTGCAGACGCTTGGCGGGTGTGTTTGGGTCCAATGGCTTGTGGAAGTTGGTTGATTCCATGTGCGACTGGCCGCATCGGCTCGAATCGAGGAGTGACGCGGTATGTAGTTTCGGGACGTGAAAGGCGCAGCATCTAATCACTGCAAAGCGAGCGAGAGTAAACAATCTTCAAAGTTTCATGAGCGGACATACAGAATCCACATGCTGTGCACGCCATGCTTAAGTCAGGACTATTCCAGAGGCATCCGACCGCACGGTTACCATTGGTCTTGGCGTTCAGCGCACAGAAGTAGCCATTGCCACCAGATGTTTTTCTAGCCAAGATTGTCCTGTGACATGCAGCAGTGACCAGAGAGTTCTGTCCAGAGCCAGGTATTGCCTTTGGTGCCTCCTTGCACCTTGCGCTTTCCGCGCTGCCGTAAAGGCAACTCTGGTCCAGGCGGGGAACTATGTTTGTTTTCCGCTGAGCCAGACGATCTCAGACGCCAGGTGTCTGTCGACGGCACTGGGGCCAGCCACGTCCACAGGCCTTGGGTAGGGGGAAGGAGTGGAGGAGAACAGCGGACCACTCGCGTCGATCGAGTTCGTTCAGAAGCCCCCTCGCACCGTTTCGGTTGAAGCTCCAGCCGCGCCAGATCTTCGCGAGAACACCGGTCGCGACTGCTTCGTTCCTCGGCAGGCAGTTCGCGCACCCCTTGAGCATGAAGTCAGCACCATGTGGACCTAGAAGCTACTTCTCGGAAGTTGTGACAGGAGCATTCCGCTGCTGTCGTTGAATCCAGCTTTCTGTTTGATACCGAGGAAGGGAGGAGCGTGAGCGACCTGGACTGCAGATGTTTAGGTTTGCCAGGGCGGGGCCTGCAAGGCTTCCTATGCTGGATGCTTCCTATGGGGGGCCTGGGCGGAGTCAGAGTTTCGCCGTGAGTCGGCTCCAAGTCGTGGAAAGAAGGCCAAACTGTGCAGGTTAGAGGCTCAAGCTTGATGTCCCTTGCACACGATCTCCGAGTGCTCCGGCCTTTTCATGAAGCGGTTGAATCCATGAACCAGAGGCACTATGACCTGCTCATTGTCATCCCAGCCAGTGCAGAGCGGGACCAGCAGCGCATGGATGCTGTGCCTTGGGCACGACATTGCTTAGATTTGCACTTTCCGGTAGAGTTTTGGCGTACGCACTTGGATACCAGAGCTCGAGGGGATTGCTGACGGCTGAGGTCAGAGAGACGTGGACCCTGGACATTGACCCCGAAACCCACCAGTGCGCCAGGCAGGCGAGTGGAGAAGCGGATGTTGGATCGGTGTCCAAGCAACCCTGTACTTGCACAGGTGCCAGAGCAATCGCACCGTGAAGTACCTGTTCTTGCTGGGTAATGAAGCAGCCGACGAGGCCGTCGAAGCAATAAGCTTCGTTTGTCTCAGCATTTGGTTCACATGGGCTGAATGCCAAGAGCACGGAGAAAGCTGCGCATGGTGGGGACACTGTCTAGACTGGCAGCCAACCTCAGGTGCTGCAGCAGAAACAGAAGATTACAGCCTGTACCTTTCCTTCTCCAAACCGAGCACACAGCTTCGGGTAGTCTCAAAGTCCTCAAAGGCTGCTCCAGGCGCCCATGCACGCACTGCCGTAGCTCTTAGGTCTTTCAGGGGGCCTCTCGTGGCAAGTCAACTGGCGACCGATGTGCTTCCGGTACGCACAAATCACAAATGTTCTGGCTTGCCCGAGCTTTCCCAGATCAGACCATGAGTTAGAGCGCATGTTATAGCCATAGTGCACCAGAATCATGAGCCTTCACTTCGTCCATGCAGGCCCCCGAGAAAGATGTCGCGATTTTGCGAAGGCGCTGGCGGAATGGCTACATCGAACCCGTGTGAAACAAAGGCATGCGTGATCTCACAGCAGCTCTCTGTAGGTGTAGCAGTGACTACGATCATCTCGCGCACAAAGTTCGCCAAGGGATTCGGTATGTCCTGGCCTCAGCGGCGTCATGTGCATCGTCATGCAGAGAGAACCTCACCGATTAAGGGGTGTCCATGCATGCATGGATGCATGGATGCAGGATGCATGAATGATCAGAGATGCCGGGATGCAGAGATGCAGGGATATGCATGCATGCAGGTATGCATGTATGCATGTACGTATGTATGCATGCATGTATTTGTTGTATGTCTGCATGTCTCTGTGGACGTGTGTCTGTGTGTCTGTGTCTGCTTGATCTGTCGATCTGCCTATCTGTCTATCTGTCTCTCGCCCTCTCTGTCCATCTGTTCCGTCTATCCATCTATCCGTCTATCCGTCTATCTGTCTATCCATCTATCTGCCTCTCGGTCTGCCTGTCTATCTTGTCTATGTATCTACCTGCTCACATCTGTCCATCCGTCGATCCTCTGCCTTTTTCCTTTTGTTTATGTCATATTGTTATCTGCCTATCTATCTGACTGACTATCTGTATCTATCCATATCTACCCATATATGTACATATCATGCGTCCATCTATCCATTCGCCCATCCATCCATCTATATATCTATCTATCCATCTATCTATCTGTCGACCCACCTGTATATTTACATGATATGTTCCGTAGCTTGGATACATAGCCGTACCTATGAGTTTCATTTTCTATGATCTATGTGCAGGCGGTGACACACTACAGCTTCCACTTGCTGTTGAAAGCTGCACCTCGTCGGCTGTTTGGGGCAGTCCTTGCAGTGGCACTTCCGCCCTAGCAGTTTCTGCAGTCAGCTCAAGGTCGCGAGGTATCAAAGTGTCTGGGTTCCTGCGTGTCACTGAGGACACTGACTCCTGGATATTCCTCGACCGCCTGATTGACTTCGCCGAGGGCCACCGCTTGTTTTCCAGGCCTGCCACATGGGCTGAGCGGCTAAGAGTCAAGATGGTGAACACTCCTGCGAAGGGAGCGGAAGATATGCCGGAGAACCGTAGCGACATCTTAACAGTAGTAGTAGTAGTAGTAGTAGTAGTAGTAGTAGTAGTAGTAGTAGTAGTAGTAGTAGTAGTAGTAGTAGTAGTAGTAGTAGTAGTAGTAGTAGTAGTAGTAGTAGTAGTAGTAGCCGCCACGGCTCAGACGTTTTGGAAGTTTCGCGCTGGCTTTCGAACAGGCTCTGGATTCCAACCTTGCGTTGCTAGAGGTCTCAAACAGGCCTCTCTCCGAACGACTAAGGGTTGGTTCCTCACGCTGAGCCATGTGCCATGTGCCAACAGTTTGCGTCTGAGCCGCCAGGTCCCAATTCCTGGACCCAGTACCCTGTCTCAACACGGGCCCACTGGGCAGGCGGTAGGGTTTCCACTAGCCGCGTGGTGGAGGGAGTCACTCGGTTTGCCTTGTGACGAAATAGCGGATGGCGCTGCTCCCAGTGCACTCACAAAATTATTCTCAGATCAGGAAGAATTCTTTCAAGCATGTTTGCCGACAGGTGGCTGCAAGCCAGCAGCCTGTTTCTTACCGAGGTCAGGTTCTGACCCCAGCTCTTCTCAGGCGCATGGGCAACTGCCCACCGCAGCCGGGCTCCAAGCAGTCTTTTGCACCACGATCTCGGGCAGGACAGGCCACCAGGCCTCTCCGAGTACTGTCCTGGAATGCAGGCCATCTTGGCCAGCAACAATGGTCGGAAGTCAAATCATGGCTCTCCACTGAGGCACACCACACCTGTGATGTGTTCGTCCTGCAGGAGACCCACTGGCAGGCTACGGCCGAATTTAGTGTTGCAGGCTGGTACTGCATCTCGTCTGCTTCTGCTGCAGATCCGAAGGCCTCTAGACGAAAGCAACGCGGGGGCAAGGCCCATAAACAGTCACCTGCAGAGGCAATGCCTAATGACGATAAGATGACCCCACCCCGCAAGGAGCCCTCAACAACTCGCGCGGACGGGGTTATGGTTTTCCTGTCCCCACACATACTGCCCAAAAGTGTGCGCTGGCAGGAACATGTCATAGGCAGAGCCCTGGAGGTCAGGTTTGACTGGCACGGGGCCCGCATCAACCTGGTTGCTGTGTATCAACACGTCTGGTCACCGGCCAAGCAGGTACAGACCAATCGTCAGGACAGAGCACATGTCCTGAAGGCTCTTAGCAGATGCGTGCAACGCGTGCCGCACAGGGACACGCTTATCCTGGCAGGAGATTTCAATAGTTCCTTGCAAAAGCAGCCTAGGCTGGTTGGTCCAGAGATCATTAGCCCACAGGAACCGAGATCTGATGAGCCAGAGCTTACCAACTTTCTGCTTAATCATCGCTTGGTTGCCCTCAACACGTGGAGGCCTCAGCCGCCACATACGTTTCAGCAAGGGGATACGCGCACTCAAATTGACTTTGTGCTTACGAGGGAGGTCTCTGCTGGAGGAGCTGCCAAAAACTCTACGCCGCTGGCAGCTTTCCCGCTTGGAAGCTGGAAGAAAGGCGGGCACTTACCCATCAGTGCAGCTGTCAAACCAGTTCGGCACTGGAACCTGCCAGCCCCTCAGATACAGCAGCATCATTATGACACCGCTGCTCTGCAAGCGGCTGTCAGGGACAACACGCTGCCAGCTCAGCACATGCTCGAGTGGGTTACAGCACGACTCACTCCGGACATGCAGCCGGCGTCATGGGATCGCCTCCTTGGCGAAGCCGCATCCAGGTTTTTCCCTAAGACCCCAGTGGCAATGCCAGATAGTCCGGAGACGAGCCTTGCCAGACGCATGTGGCGCTCGGCACGTGGGAGCAATGCTCACCCCAGTGCGGAGCCATCGCCGGAGGATGAAGCCCGGCAGAGGCTGTGTGATCAGCATAAACAGGCGGTTAAGCAGGCTCGCAAGGACCAGACCAAACGGTTTCTTGCTGAGGTTGATCAGGCTCTGAGCCAGGGCGATCAGCACCTGGCATATCAGACTCTTAAGCACCTCCGGCCGTGGAAACCGGCTTTGAAAGCTCAGCTTAAGGACGCGCACGGCTTCCTGCTCAGTCCTGCAAACGAACTGGATGAACTGGGGAAGTATGCAACTAAGGTCTTTGCGGCGCACCCACAGCTCCCGTCTGATTCGGGACTCCTGCCCCTATTGCCACAGACCAAGTTAGCAAAACATATTGCCTCGATCAAGCCTAGCAAGGCAGTTCCGAAAGGAGCGGCACCGGCCGCAGCCTGGAAGCTCTGTGCTCAGCCGATCTCTGCGGCGCTTTCACAATACTGTTCAAGCCTGACGCAGGACCAGTCACTGGACGACGATCTGACTCGCGCAGATCTCTGCTTAATCCCAAAACCGGGCAAGCCGGCTGACAAGCCTTCACAACTCAGGCCGCTGGGCATTCTTCGCCCGGATGCTAAAGGACTGGCGGGCACGGCCAAGGAGCTCCTGGAGCCTTTCACGCTGCCATACATGAAGCCTCTACCCCAGTTTGCATACCTCCCTGGGAGAGGTCTTTCGGATGCACAGAGCAGAGTGGTTCAGCATTTAAGGGAAGCAAGGCAGCTCTGTCGCAATGCGAATCTCACCCGAGCGGATCAGCAGCGGGGACAATGTCCTGTAGGTCTCGTCGGCGGCATCACTTTCGCACTAGACCTGTCACAGGCATTCGACACTGTGTCCCGAAGTGAGATCTTGTCCCTGCTAGATGAGCTGGGCGCGGATCCCCCGCTTAAGAAACTCATACACGGCCTTCATCATCGATCTAAATACAGACTTCATTCTCAGGGGGCCTACAAGGACGTGGAAACTACCACTGGCATCAAACAAGGCTGCAAGTTGGCCCCCACGCTGTTTTCCGTGCTCACAGGCCGCCTCCTTCATAGACTGATAGACGCATTTGGCTGGGACAATGTCCGCAGATACTTTACAGGTTACGCGGACGACTTCACCATGCATCGCACCATCCGCAGCCAAGCAGACGTGGACGCTGCTCACAAGATGATCCTACAGCTTCTGTCGGAGGTGACGAAACTGGGATTACGCGTCAACCCGGCCAAATGTGCCATGCTAGTCAAGCTTAACGGCAGAGAGGCGGAAGCCGTGCTTCAGAAGCACACCTGCTGGCTGCCCGACTCGACGGGCACACTACAGCGGCATTGGCGACTGGGCAAGCACAGATCCTTCCCTGCATACAAACTTGAGGCGCAAATCAAGTACCTGGGCATCCAAATTTCCTATGGGAACTTTGAAATGCAGACGCTGCGATTCCGCATAGCGGAGGCTGCCAAAAAGCTCCAGCAGGTCAAGCGATTCGTCTACAATCGCCGCACCGCGGGGCCAATGGCCAGGCTAAAGGTCTGGTTCACCACCGTTTGGGCCACCTTGGTCACGGGACTCCCCGAAGTCGGCCTCACGGAGGAGACGGCCAGGCATCTTAGAGGCTGGTATGCACACAAGATACGCTCGGTCCTCAATCAGCCTGCACACGTCGGCCACACACCTACAGCTGACCTGTACCGACTATATTCAATCCAAGACCCGGTAGCCAAAATCCAAACAAGGATGGCTTCTAGACTCAAGCGGTTGTGCAAGAGAACAGCCCCCTCCGAAGCCACCACTACAGCCCTGCCTGCACACACTCCCAGTGAACCCTCAGCGACGCGGGGCCCATGGGCCAGGCTGAGTCCACCAGCGACGGGCCTAGCAACACACCAGCAGCCGTCTGAACCACATACATACGGTGACGTCACGCAACTGAGCCACGTCGTACAGGACCTACAGGACATGCTGAGAGAGGTGGAAAACCTCCCGGCGAGCACCGAGGCCTCACAGCAGCGGCTACACGCCTGCCCTCACTGCGAGTCGGGTTTTGTCTCTGCACATGGCTTACACATGCACGTCACGCGAATGCATCGCGAGCACGTGCAAAGGTACATTCCCCCCTCCTTTGATCGCAGTCGGCACTCCAAGGATGGTCTACCTGTATGTTCTGCATGCGACAAGGCTTTCCATCAATGGAAAGGCCTACGTGACCATCTCTTATCGGGGGCCTGCACGCAGCCGGAACGACTGCGTCAGATCTCTCTCACCACTGAGGAACAGATGCAGGGTCAGGCCCTCCAGGGCCTGGCGGCCTTTCGCGCCAAGGTGCAGAGTTCGCCCAGCAACAAACTCAGTGCCATTGCCACCCGGCCAGAGGCTCAGGAGCTTAAGCATCGGTGCATTTTGTGCGGTTTTTGGACCCCGGACCATACCAAGATGAAGAATCATCAACGACAGGCCCATGCACAAGCATGGCAGCGAGATGGTCCGGCAGCACTTCAGCTTTGCAAGGCCTATTCTGTGCAGATGATAAAGGGGCACCCCTGCCCCTTTTGCAGGCTGCCGGTCTATGACAAACGCAAACACCCTGAGCAATGCATTGTCCTGTTTCAGGTTCTGCTTGGGTGGCACAAGGTGCAAGGCACGGACAAGATGCGGGAACAATGTTCCAAGCCTCATCCCAAGACCGCGGTGACAATGTCACTTAGTGGCTTTTTTGGGGCTGCAGACAAGCCAGCTACCGCGGCTGCATCACCCACTGTTGCCATGGCAACGACGGGCGCCGTCGGCAGCACTCTCCCGCCAGGCCTGTATTCTCGTATGCGACACATGGTGAACTCGGGTAACACCTGCTATGTCAATGCGACCATTCAGGCCCTACTAGCCGCGCTAGACTCTGCGTCCAATGTAGCGGAACTGGGACCACTGGTCCAACACTGCATCAACCCGGAAGCGGATCCAATGGATACGAGGCACATAAACCCTCCAAGCCTATTCGCTCTCCGGTCCTTAGTGCCTAGATGGCGATTCGATGGCCGTCAACAAGACGCCTCCGAATTTGTCACATACATGCTAGAGCACAACACGGGGACTCTGCAACCCGCTCGCTGGGAAGGACGCACTAATGGAGTGCCGGAAAGTGAGGATGACGGCCTCACGCCGTTGCTGCTGCCCCTTTCCTCAGCCTGTCGTACACTGCAGCAGGCCTGCACGGCATGGTATGACCACACGTTCCAGCGCGCCCTGGCATGGGCCCCTGACATCCTGCCAGTCACAATCGCTCGATGGATGGACGGCACAAAACGACGCACCCCGCTGGACCTGCGCAGGCACCTCTCAATGCCGTCTTGGATTGAGGGTCAGGGCCGGCAATGGCATCAATATGCAGTCATTTCGGGAGTTTTTCACATAGGTGCTGACATACACTCCGGCCACTACCGGTCCTTCTGGATTCACCCAAATGGAGGCGCGCTGTATGTGGGGGATGATGCCACCCGCCCATACCCAGCCTCGGCCTCAGATCGCAAACATGTTATGGAAGACTGCTACCTCCTTTTCTTGAGAAGACAGGAGTGACTCTGACTCACCCTCAAGGGGTGAGTGCTGGCCCTCCAAACCTAGGAATGCGTGCACCAATAGGGTGCCTGTGCGTGGGAAGGCCGGACCCCACAATAGGTGGGCATGGCCCCCCCCACGTCAAGGCCAAGCATGCTTTAGGCATGCGCAGGCTTACCGGCAGCTTTTCAGGCTGACCCAGCATGGCCGACACGATCCACAGCCCGGACCACAAAAGTGGTCGAACCGCCTCTCCCCTGGCTCCAGATTCACTAATGGGAGAGCCATCTGAGCCGCTTGGGGTCGACACTCGACGCCAGACATCCGGAGGCGGCAAGCAGCGGCAAGGCAGCGCCCTGCATGCCCTCTCCAACGCTGCAACCAATGGTGCCACTGGCAGACTAAGCAGTAAGTCGCGGAGGCCATGCCTGTTCTCACTTGCGTCTCTTCCGAGACAGACTGATGGCCCTTCTGCCGGATGCCGCCGCTGTCAGTCGGAAATCATGCCCTAGCCTGCTGCCGGTCGCGCTACTGCTGCTCTGCTGACAGCATACACAACGCGAATTCCGTTTCAATGTTCAGGTACATACAACAATCTGGAGCTTGATACCCTGCAGCCTGCAAACTCGCTTTGGCTGATCACTGCCAGTTAGCTCAAAGCCTGTAGGCCGCAACCACTCAAAGGTCTTTTGACCTGGGCGGATCAGCTATAGGGTCTGAGTCAGTTTCACACCAAAGTGAGTGCACCGCGGCAATCGCCCGCTATGTGCAGAGCCCGCTCGCACAGCGTTCAATTGAAAAAAAATAGTAGTAGTGGTAGTAGTAGTGGTAGTAGTAGTAGTAGTAGTAGTAGTAGTAGTAGTAGTAGTAGTAGTAGTAGTGGTAGTAGTAGTAGTAGTGGTGGTAGCAGCAGCAGCAGCAGTCGTTGTGGTAATAGCAGCAGCAGCAGCAGCAGTAGTCGTGGTGGTAGTAGTAGCAGTAGTAGTGGTAGTCGTAGGTGTACGAGTAGGAGTTGTCGTAGGTGTAGGAGTTGTCGTAGGCGTAGGAGTTGGAGTTGGAGTAGCCGTAGGCGCAGGCGTAGTACCAGTAGCAGTTGCAGTAGCAGGGGTAGTAGAAGGGGTTGTAGTGGTAGTTGGGGTAGTAGTCGTCGTCGTGGTAGTCGTAGGTGTAAGTGTAAGTCGCTATCGTACTCGTACTCGTTGTCGTAGCAGTAGTACTGGTCTAGCAGTAGCCGCAGTATTATCAGTAGTAGAAGAATCTCGGAAGCAGTAGGAGGAGAAAGAGGAGCAAGAGACGACGGCAGTGGTGTTCACAGTGCTAGTGGTGGTGCGGCTTCGGCTAGGCGGCTAAGTGTTCAGAGGAGTGGAGTCCATGCTGGAGAGATCCGCCGGCATGGGAAGCCTCAGACCTACGCCGGTGCCCAGAACCGCGATGAGGCGCAGCGGGAGGGCCCAGGGCCGGGAGGGCTGCAGTCGCATTCAAAGGGAGTCGCCTTTACCGTAGGAGAGTAGGAGCCGAACGCTTCTGCACGATCCTTCAACTTCAAATCAGGCGACATGTGGGAAACCCAAACCCAGAGGCCAAGTCACCCGTTTGCAGGTGTTCAGCCAGCTCACGAGCCAAGACACCTACCCGGTCTACACTCCTGGTTGTGGCTATCTCCTGACACGGGATCTGTGTTGCCCGGCTCGAACCTCACACCAACCTTTTCGGAGATTGACCGGCTGGTGTAGTTGGGAAAAGCCCAGGCAATAAAGTTGCATCAGCAAAGCTGCCTGCCCGGACTGTCCAAGCTAAGGCAACTACGTAAGCCTGCTCTCTGAGGCAGATGGGAGGGCAAGAGACTGCGATTGCCCCGGTAGTAGCCTGGGTTCCTGTGCCGTCGCAGGACCAAGGCGGAAGAAAGGACCAGCAGGAGCTCAGTGGCTCCAGGCCTGAGAACTCTCGAATCGCCTTCAGGGCTCCTTGCAGGACTCTGCACTGCCTGGGCTGACCGAGCTCCCACAAGAAGACGTGGCAGCCGCTGGGCTGCAGATGGCTGCAGCATACGACGCCCTTTCTTACCGACCCCTTGCCTTGCCGTGGATATCAGCTTTCCTCTTCTCGCCGCTGGACTGGTGAGGTTTTGAGAGTCTTGCAGAATCTTGTTGGCCGTAAGTCGATGTTTGCCCACTTGCCGGGAGCTTGAGCTCTCGAGTTTAGGCAAATCAGAGGGGACCTTTTCCTGTGTCGCTGCGCTGTCTAGCAGACTTGCTTGTTACTGCTGATGTTTTGACTTCGTCGTTTTCGCTGGCGGCGCCCCGTCGCGGAAAGCAAAAAACCGGACGACTATCCCTGTATCTTCCCCCGGATGCTTCGCGTGTCCCAGTCTTGTTGGTGTCGCAGTCGCTGTCGCCTTGGCGAGGTTGGATTTTGGCTTGAGGCAGGACCGAAGTGCCGCCTGCCGCCTCGGCGGAAGTGTCGAGTCCGTCCGTCCGTCAGTCCGTTGCCAGGCCGTGGAGCACCAGAGGCTGAGCATGCCGCTCTCAATCTTCGGTGATGCCTGCAGAGCCTGGGCAGAATTCTGGTGGGGCTTACGAGAAAATCAAGCTCTGTGCACACAGTTACCCGAGGGAAGTCGGAGGGCGACTCTTTCGTGCTGGATCATTACGTCTCGCAGGCGCTGTGCGGGTGTGCAATGTGTAGGGCGAGCAGGTTTGGTGAGCAGCTGCATGGTTTATTTTGAGCTGCAGAATGACCAACGCGCGGGGCCATGATTCAAGCCAAGCTGAAAGGAGCAAATGCGTCGCAGATGGCGAAATCTGCAGCAGAGTGGGGATCCATGTCGTGGAGAGGCCTCAACAGGGCCTTGGGAAGTGATTGTGTGTGTGTGTGCCTCTGCTTCGGCACTTGGGATGCGAGGGATGGTGCGCAACGTCACTCACCCGAGTAGGTAGAGTCTGAGGCCCGATAATGGCCGTCTGCCTTCAGCGATCTAACGAATCTAGCGCTTCTTCGTGTCTCCGTGTCTTGAGTGGAGCCCATTTGGCATGTGCACTGGGAGGCCGCTCTGTGAGTGGGCGACCGGCCTCGGTTCCTTTCCGGAAACACGGACGCTGCGCATGCTTCCGCTTCGAAGCCAACAAAAGCTTGCTCTTGCAGTGGCGTCGCGGTGTGAGTGGCGCATTAATGCACAATCCCGGGTATTTGCCTTTGGAAGTGGACATCAGAAAGTTATCAGCAGACTCGAGTGGACCCCCAGTCCCGAAGCTCCAAAACCCTGAGTTTTACGTCAAAATTCTGGCGGGTGCTGACCGAAACACTGCACCCGGAAAGAAAGCCACAACTTGCGAGATCCGCGAAGAATGCAACCCCAAGCCTACACTTTCTTCCGAAGAGAGCGGCCAGGTCTGGAAGATTTCGGCGGCTCCTCGACAGCATCTTTCAGGGCTAAACAACTTCAATGGCTCTGTTCTGATCGCACGATGCCGTCATACCTTTACTGCGACGCTGGGCCCCAAAGAACAACTACTTTGACCGTGACCCGCGGTGCCGCAGGACAACGACAATTTCGGCTTGGAGTTGGACCTCACCAATCCGCTGTTTCCTGGCCTGGCTAAACGGGAACTCCCGGATGCATCAAGGGCAAAATCGAAGGGCTTTCCCATTTTCAGGCTATTCTTATGCTTGGACGGAGCTTTGCATCTATGGTTCTTTGTTCACGCACAGGCTGCCCATCGTGGTGCGAGTGGTGCCTGACAGCCAAGCGGTGAGGCTGATGTGGTTTATTTCTTTGGATGGCTGTGGGACATGTGGAGGCGTTGTCAGCTTGATGTAATCACCAATCCCACAGGCCAGATGCTTGAGTGATCCCCAGTCCCTATCTAGCACACTTGCAAGTAACTTTGCTCTACTTTCCGGTCCTCATCCGTGAAAGGTGGAACTTCCGCGCAGCCCCTTGCAAGCCGCTTCGATTGATGTGTTCGAATCTTTTCACCGATTGCACAAGACGTCTCTGACCCGCGGTGCCGCTGGTCTTGCTATCGGTTTTGACCAGACAGTATCAGTGTCCCAGCTGTAAGGCAACTGCTTCCTGGGCTGGGCCTTTACAGAGTGAACCAGGTGCATCAGGAGCGCGAACGGAGTGGCCATAAGAGAGAGGGTGTAGGGTGCTTGCGAGGCACATCTTGCTCGGGCTCAGAGGATGTCGTGGCGAGATGCTGTCAAGGGTTTTTAGTTCTGGCACTGGGACGAAAGGTGAAACCTGACACGCACGACCTAGATTATGTCAAAGTCAACAGGTTTCGCGACCACCAGGTGGCTTACGGATCTTTGCTTTCCATAGGTCTGGAGATCGTAAACACAAGCTTCGTGAATTTCGGCAGCAACTTCGTCTCACCCAGAGAAGGATCATCTTCAGAGCAGGTTGATGGCTCCGAGATTGGAGACGTTGGCATGGCTCTTTGACTCCCACTTGCGTATTTGGGTCGTGAGGATTCCCAGAAAATCCACAAGGAGCTCCTGCAGAGCAAAGGCAGCATTACGCTAGGCCAGCTCCTTGAGATTGTTGAGTTGGGGCCTGGGAAGTACCTGTCATGCGTCTCTCAACTAATCGTGATTGGAAGAGTTGTTGCACATGCCTATCGAACAGACTTGGTGGAGCATAGGCTCATGGCAAAGTTAGAGTCTGCATGTTCTGGTACCAAAGGCACAGCAATCACTCAGTCGGCTGCTAGTGGACTTCCGAAAGCTACAGGGCTTGGCATTGGCTTGACTTTACTCGAATTAAAACAAGCGATGTGTGCAACTCAGTTTGTTTCTCACACACACATATCCAGACAGACTGTGCCTGCTAAGCGTCGGACTGAAAAGAGACGGAAGGCTTCAAATGGCCGTCGATGCAAAATGTGCCGTGGGCTCAGTTTGTGCTGTGTGGGACGCTCGTTTGGTATAGCAGCAAAGCCTCAATGGCCGGAATCCACACGAAATCGACTGTCCCCCGTTGCCCGCAGCTTCCGAACTCTGGAGGACGCTGCCGCGCCCTCCGGGACTTCCCCTTGGCCTGCAGATGGTGCTTCCAGAACATGAGGCTTTGCCTTAGGGAAATTCAGATGAGAGCACAGTTCGGAGCCCCAGCCTGAACTGCCACAGCTGGCCCAAGCGACTCTGTAGAGGCCGCCGGCCTCTACCTGGATCGCGCGGAGGGCCTCAGCGCCTCCGCTGGCTTGAGAGCACCTCGACAAAGACTCTTCCGAGCCTCTGAGAGCCTCTTGGTGTTTGTGGAGGGTTTTATGGGTTTACAGCGCGAAAAAGCAGGCCGGTATGCATGTTCGAGCTGTGGATGGCCGGCGTGATAGTCCAGAAAGAATGAAGCAGGACGGCGGCACCCCCACAAGAGCTTGTTATGGGGACCGACGCAGCAGCATTCCGTGCAGGAGATTGAAGATGCATCGGCAATGCACGGGGCTGAGCAGTCGACTCCACTTGAGACGTGTAGCGTCTCTGCCCTTTCTCAGGATTACGCTCCGGGTGGCATCTTATGTATAGACCTGTCTCACTCAGGCCAGGATAAGCGTAACGTCTGCCTTACGATAGCAAAGCAGCGTCCCCTTCCAGGCCGTCTGCTGTCAGCTTGACAGCAAAATTCACCAGCAGTTTGCATTTTTTGAAGATATTCCCAGGCCGCACACCACAAGACAGCAAGTGTCAGGACCACAGCAGAGATGCACAAACCTGTTCAGAAATGCGATGGGGCTTGGGGCCAGTGGTTGGCTTCGCCCAGCAGCCGGGCCCGCCCATTAGAGGCGAAAGTGGTCCTTGTTTGATCCTGTTCTTGCGGATTCGGATTCCAGTTTCAAGCTAATGTTCTGCATCTCGGCATCCGAAGCAGTTGTGGCAGACAGCACTGTGCTCGGTCCTAGTCGTAGTGGTTGCTCGGATGCCCGATGCCGGTGCCCCGCTCTGACTGACGCCTCGAAAGCTGAGTTTCGTCATTTCCGGTTCAGCAAGCCGTTGAAAAGTGCCAAGTTTTGACTCTCGCTCTCTCGCTCTCTCGCTCTCTCGCTCTCTCGCGCTCTCGCTCTCTCTCTCTCTCTCTCTCTCTCTCATATATGTGTGTATGTATGTATGTATATATATATATATATATTATATTATATGATATGATATGATATTATATTATATTATATTATATTTTATTATATGATATTATATGATATTTCATGATATTATATGATATTATATGATATTATATGATATGATAGTATATTATATTATATTATATTATATTATATTATATCATGCCCGTGCCAACCTGGGACCTTCTTTGCCGCGTTCGAAGCTGAGGCATTCTGAAGCGTGAGCCGACTTGACGGCGTCTCCGGTCCCGTACAGAACTCTAGTGCAGCCAGGTTGCTCAAGCCTCAAGCCAGCTGGAAACAGCTTCTCTGTTTTAGGCGAGAAGTCGCAATGGAACGCTCGCATGAACGTCAGATGCAGAGTTGGATCGGGGGTCGGACTTTCACATAGAAACAGAGCCGCCGAAAGAGGCCATGCCTTTTGGCGGTGACTTGGAAGAGATTCCCGTGAAAGGCGCTCTGTGCATGCCGAAGCATTGAGCTTCTCCAAAGTACTCTATATTCAACACGGATGTAGAAGCTTCGCGGGCACTTCCCATCCGGTGCCTCTTCAAGTGTTGATGTTGCTTTGGCCTCCGCGCAGGCATCCTGCAATGCCTTCCCAGCCCTCGGCTCCTGGGCCCAGAACAGCACACCAGTCTGTGATGGCCTGTTCGAGGTTTAACATTGACACAGGCCTCTCCTTAACACTACTTCTCGTGGCATTTACTTGTCAAGTGCGTTCACGCAGAGGGGGGGGGCTGTTAGTTTTGGTTCAGGTGTTAGGTGTTCATGAAACGAAGGAAGCCTGAATGGGTTCGGTCGTTTCTTGCACATTGCATGCTGGATCTGGCCTCGAATCAGTCGCAGTGCAGTGCCTTGCTGTGCTGAGTCGCAAAAGCGGCTGAAAAGCAGCCAAAGCAGCCGCAGCAACCAAAGCCTGCCGCCGGCAGTGCCTTGGCAGTTTACTGCTTCGGTACTTCACAGCGGTCGGAGAACGCACAGCGTAATAAACAAGAGTCTTTCTCCTCTCGTCTGAGCTCAAAACCCTGGGCCTAGGGAATTGGCTCGACGAACCAAGGAGTCGCGAGCGCAGACGCCCGCAAGCCTCTTGGCATCCAAGAGGCGGGGTTAAGTTGGGTTACTGAGTCCGGCACGGCAATCCTCCGCGAGAAGGAAGGGAAGGTCAACTGGAAGAGCGTACGGGTTAGCGTGGACGACCCTGCAGTCAGATCGGCAAGAGTTCTGTGCTGTCCTCGGGCAGACGCCGTCAGTGTCTGTGGCCATTTCTTGGTGAGGGAGGGCGGCAGCGAACCAGCTCGCTTTATTCATGTCCCAGCAGAGCCACTGAAGCGGTGTGCACTGGCAACATCGGACATGCATAATTCCGCATGATGCATTGCAATATCGCGAGATCATTGCGAGCCAGAGTCACCAGCGGCTTATCATCAGTCTTTGAGTTGCACATTCGCACGGGTAGTGCTCGGTGCAGGACGTCGCTCTCCGACACCGAAAATGACATACTGGGCCCTGGGCGGGTCAAGCGGGGAAGCCTGGATCTTTTATAGCGAATGTTACCGAGCACTGCGTGGCTAAGTGACGAAGGCTAAGGAGAACTGATTGGGCTCGTCATGTGAAGAGCTATCTGCTCTGAAGTGGAACACCTCTTGAAGAAAGGTCTCCCTTGGCAGATCTGCGTCCTGTGGTTGTGGCACCGTCGTTGCCACCGATGGTTCCGCACGTCATGCCGCCTTGTTCATGAAGTCTCGCTCATCCCTTGCAGCCTTTGCCTAGAAGTTCTTGGTTCGCCAGGCTTGGGCGGGCGATCCTGACGACCCGCAGTTCAAGGCGCCGAGCTTCGAAACGATTGGCCGCTGGGATGCAATTGAGAAGAGTACGGCCCGAGTTTTCGAGGTGCTTGGCTCGAGGAAACTGCCAAGACACCTCGGGGCGTAATTTCGAAGTCTTGGAAGCTAGAATTTTGCTGCCATCCACCGCAGTTTGGAGCATGCGCTGAATCCCGATCTCGCAACCTTGATCTAAGGCAAGCCGATTCGCTTGAAGTTCTGCAAGGAGATGTCCTGTTTGCAGCCTGTTGTCTTCAACTATGCTCCCTGTTCCAGCTGAAGCCACGGCTTGACTTGTCACATGTCCCGTGGTTTTATCGACGTTAGGGTCGGATTATTCGCCATCTGTTCGAGAACCTGCGACAGGGAATACTGCTACATCGTGATGATTCTCGCAGACCGCGTAAAGCACTGTCAGAGACATCCCTTGGACTGTTTGCGCATGGCCTACTAACTAGTACGCGTCCTGTACTGGTAACAAGCTACGCTCAAAGATGATCGGCTCAGGGCTGCGAAAATCTCCGAATCTGGAATTCTGAAGCTGGTTTTGCCTCCAGCACACCAGAAAGCAAGCGCGGCAACACAGCCATGGCAGGAGTGGTACGACAGTCTCTTCGGAGTTGCGGCCAAGAGCATCCCAGGCAGGGCTTTGGCAGAGACTTCCATCCCGCATCGCCTTTGGGAGGGCTTCAGCCGGGAACCATGCATTCCTGTTGTGTTGCTTGGCGATTCGACAAAAACAGGTCGCGATGAGTATGCATAAAACGTGACACGTTATGGAAGCATGTAGTGTGATGTCTCGCGGAGCATGGCGTGTTCCGCTGGCACTGGCATATCTGGCATGCAGATATATACAAGGACCTTCCACCTGAGCCTTCCCAAGCCGTTCTCAAGCCTCCTCCGACTCGGCAGACATCCTGGATGCAAGCAACTGGCTTCCTGCCGATGCACCAGTTCGACTCAAATTGCCCAGCTGCCGCCTCAGTCGCTCGGTTCCCGGTAAAGCCTCGGTCTGGGCCAAAATCTGCAGAGGCAAGCTGAAGGAAAAGCTGGGCATACAGGACAGCTGACTCGCCACCGCCTCTCCTCACAGTTTCCGATGCTCAGGGTTTGCTGCATGACTTGCCCTTGATCGCTCCAGATGTACTGGCAGCAGAGCGAGATTCTGAATTGCCTTGCAGGGGCCATGTGGCACGTGAGGCCATCTCTTCGGATAGCTCCGGAATTGTGGCCTGCAGGAACCAGAGGTCCTTGCTTCGACGCCAGCTTCCCGGCCGTCGACGGGCACATCGACGGAAAGCTTGGAACCTACTGATAGGGCGATGTAATGCCCGGCCTTCGTGTGTTGCTCTGAAGGTGCAGTTCGGATTCTGCACGGTCATCTTGGAGCACGTGTGTTGCAGTTGTTTTGGCGAGGTCACCGGAAAGGTCGTTCAAAGCGCAGGCCGAGCGGATGGCAGGCGCAGGCGGTGGGGAGCTCAAGCTCAAGCCTTCCATCGGAGAAAGTGCATAGCTGCCATAGCTCAGGTCCCCGAAGCCCTCAAGGATGAGCGCCATTGGGCCGCGATCCGCCTCCAGCGACTCGACCGGGAGGGGGCGGTGGACATCCGCCAGTGTGTCTTTGGGGTTGCAAAGTGCCACAGTTGGGAGAGGCTGCCGCTTCTCAGAGCTTGCAGTTGGGTTGCATTGAAGCGCACCGCACTGATGCCGGGCTCAGGCTCAAGGCAGACGTCAAACGTCAGAGAAAGACAAACGCAAGCAGAACTTCGGACAAGTCCGTCCCTTTGCAGACTCCGACAGTCCGAGAGACGATCAACTGATCAGTTGTCGCGGCCGCCGCATGGCGTTGTAAGCGGGCGGAGGTGGAAGAGCATGACGCACTGCTTCGAGGATCCTTGGCACGGTGACGCAGCTTCGCAGTGCCACAGACCTCCAGTACCGAGGACTCTGGAACTATCAAAGATGTCGACTTCGAGTCTGCGGAGGATCAGCACATCTCCAAGTTGAAGGAGATGGCCTGTGGCATTTCAGTAGTAGGATACCCGAATCAGCAGCACAGATCTTCTGTGCTATGCCATTGCCGAGTCTAGGTAGTGTGATCCTTACGGTGTGTACCCTGATGTTCAAGTCGATCCGTGCACTGATTTGACGGTCTGTGATCTTCCGAGCATCGCGACTTTGAGACACGACCAAATGAGAGCCCGCCCGAGTCTCCAGGAACGGATGGAAAGGACAAAGGACAGCGTAGACCGTTTTGCGAAGGTGGACATGCATTCTTTTCGGTTCATGTGGGAAGATGGATCGACACCCGCAGATTCGGTGAACAGCCCGCAGCCAGGTGCACTTCCGCTGGACGGTTGGGATCAAGTTCATCGGCCTGGTGGCTTTGGCATCGCTGCTGGCCGTGGAGTGGTACTCTGAGGTTCGATCAGAGGCTTCGCGTCTGGTTACCGAGCTCTCGTCTCTTGGCAAGGCCCGGGAGGGACCGTGTCACACGGAGCAAGTCATCGTACTAGTAGAAGAAGCTCTTGGAAGATTCACTTCCCCTCCTGACAGTGTCGGCTTTTGAGTGGAGGATGTGTTGTTGTATGACCTCGTCCTGACAATGTCGGCTCGGATGCTGGCGCTCACAGGCCGGGACCTGAAATCCCTCCCTTCGGCGCCGTTTTGCGACGGCGCGAGGGCGCCGCGTCTCGAGGTGACTTGCGATGGCGCGACGAGTATTTTCTCAAGGTGGAGCCCTTGGAGGCCAGCTCTCAGAGAGGTTTGGAGAAGGCGTACGACTGTCATCAGCACACAGACTGAACATGGAGCTATGCGGACCTTTAGATGATTTGAATTCCTTTGCGTGTTGCATTGAAGCTCCATCACCGACCGTACTAAAGTATTGCGGAGGCGGTATACCAAGTTCCGGCTAAACTCCCAGCAATATTTCACTGGTGTTCTATTGTAGGACAAATCGTCATACTTGTTCGAGCGTTCCAGACTATTCGCGTCTTCAGCATCAGCCTGTCGGATTGAAAAGCATTTCAGTGCACCCAAAGCCGCCTCTCTATCGAGTGCCAAGGAAGAGACAGGCATGCCAAAGCATATCGTGGTAGTGAAACGGGTGGTGGTGGTGGTGGTGGTGGTGGTAGTGGCAGTAGCAGGAGTCGTAGTAGTAGTAGTAGTAGTAGTAGTAGTAGTAGTAGTAGTGGTAGTGGTAGTAGTGGTAGTAGTAGTAGTAGTAGTAGTAGTAGTAGTAGTAGTAGTAGTGGTAGTAGTAGTGGTAGTAGTAGTAGTAGCAGCAGTGGTAGCAGCAGTGGTAGCAGTAGTGGTAGCAGTAGTGGTAGTAGTGGTAGTGGTAGTGGTAGCAGCAGTGGCAGCAGTAGTGGTAGCAGGAAGTAGTGGCAGCTTGGTAGTAGCAGCAGCAGCAGCAGGGGTAGTAGAAGTCGCATTTGCAGGATGTCACCAGCTTTTGGTAAAAGAGCCCGTCGTCCTCCCCAGGCGGTTCTGGATGAGATCGGGCGCAAAGCACCAGACATTGCTAGCGAGCACCTTGACTTAAATTTCAGTATGCCCTGTCACTACATCGCTCGCCTAAGCATCTGGCAGTACCAGACTGTGAAGTGATGACTTGTTTAAGCTCAGCGGGATTCGAAAGCTAGGTGCCGTTTGAGTTCGCGGGCTGCCAGGTTCGAAAGAAGGACCGTCGTGGCAAACGATAAGTTGCTGGCGTTGGAGGACGGGCCATCGGCCTCACCATGTCAACCCGATGACAATCTGAAAGTTAGGCTGGCTCTGGCCCTGCAGCCCCAAGCTCTTGAATTATGCCTGATACTTCCACCGTAGCTGCTGGAGTTTTTGAATTAGACTCGTACTGCATACCAGTGTATGCACGACTGCTGTGGCTGTTGCCACAAACAAGATCGCCACCTGCACGCTGAGACGAATGTGGGCTTGCAGCCCTGGTGTGGGTTTGCTTTTGTCGCCCACGCTTCTTTGCGATGTATTGGGGCATCATGACTTTCTGTTGTTTACATCGCTCATCGGAAGCACCTTGTTGTCAGCCGACCCGAAGCCACAGCAGCATCTAGCCCATGCAAGTTTAGTGGCGTGCCTAGAAGCATCAATGTTCTGTTTGTTGATGCTTCCATCGGATGCGGCAAGGGCGAGGCCATCGAGTTGTCCACGAGTAACGTTACCTTGGCCACCAGCGTTCTCTTCAGCGACACTTACGAGACCAACAAGGCCCTCGAATTCGCTTGCGTTCGACCGCGAGTTTTCTTCACAGTTGGAAGGGGCGAGTGAGCGTGGATGGTAAATTCCCAGCCAGGAAGTGCTTTCGCGAAGAGTCCTTTTAATCAGGCGCTCCTGCTTGAGGGCCTCACTGTGCTGGACAGCATGATCAAGGACGTGCGTTCTTCGGCTGCAGCTCATAACTTGCGACTTTGAGATCGCATATTACGGATCCCTGGTCCGTGCGACAACAATGGAGAAGAGTAGATTTCTTAGCGCTTGGAGATTTTGAGATCTGAGGCAAGCGTCACCGGGACACGCAATCTTGGTGGGGCATCTTGAGCCCGTGTCCTGCCTCCGAACGGGGCATTGGTTTTCGTCGCATGTGTGATAGTATCAGGAGATTTTAGCGCCCTTTGGATGCTGGTGTATGCGGAACCACCTGTTGCGGAAGTGTCGACCAATGGACCGACCAATCTGAGGTCCCTGGTGTTGCTAGCTTTTTTCGGCGAATGTGCCATGACCGTTGCGGTCGAACGGCTGGACCGACGGCTGGAAAGATACTGGAAAGAAGCTGATCATGCACAATCAGCGTGCCCCGAAAAAGTTTTGTCGATGCCCAAGCCCTTTGAAGCAACACTCGGCGAAGGGAGGTCACTGCTCAAAGTGCCCTGCGAGGTACAGCCACGAAGCGCGCAAGCGCTTCGTCAAAAAAGCAGAGGACACGATTCTGAATATACAGGGGAAGATCCCGAAGCGTTTCTTGAGGCGGGCACCGACTCTTGCGCGGTTGCTGTATGGAGACAGCCTTGGCGCGAGTATCGATGGTATCATGATGCGATGCACTGAGCTGCGCGGAGGCCGTTGCAGCTTCAAGCCGACAACGATGATGCTCCCCCGTCTCCACAGTTATTGCGCAGGAGGAGTGCCAAGTGTGTGCAGTGGTTGCAGTGGAAGCCTTGCTTGGGTTTCGGGATTCCCAGCCTCCAGAAACGGCAGAGAAGCCAGTAGAAAGTTGGAAATCGTAACTTTTTGAAGCTCCTTCTATTACGTAGCGACGTAGACCTGATGCAGTCGCGGCTTTCGTGTTTCTTTTGACAAGTTATGCTGACTTGTGCCTCAGAGACCTTGACTGATTCTGAGCCTATGAGCATACAAATGGAAAAGCAGTTCTTTCGTCATTCATTCGAACGCGAGATCTTCGGCGGCTTGGAGACCGGCTTTGCACAACAGGTGACACCCAACTCATGATTCTCCGTTCATCGATCCTCAGAGCTCGATCGTCGCACAGGCTTGCAGTCGAAGTCGTGCGTTTGCGCCACCTGAAGCGCGGAGAACATCGGAGCTGTGGGGCGAGAGAGGGAGTGGGCGGACTTGGCAGCAGAAAAACAGGGAGGCTTCCTGCTCGGAAGCTCCGCAGCCCTGCGAAGACACATGGTTGCGGCTAATGAGCTTATGACTAATGTGCATGTCAAAAATGACATAGAGCACAATGAAAGCTCCAAAGCTGCCTCGTCCGAAGCCCGGACCGCGCTGAGGCACAAGAATGGGGAGTTTTCTGAAGCCTTTTGTCGCCCTGGAGGCTTTTCTACTTGGCGATGTCTGCCGAAGTCTTTGCACTTGCAGGCCAGAATGCGAGAGACTCTTCGCGTTGTGCGTCTGCGTGGGAGCCAAAGCAACTAAGGGATGCCGTAGGTAATGCGCCTTGGTATTTGTCGCGTTGTGCAGAAGCCATCGGTTGCAACTGATCAGCAAGTGTGGGGGCGTTCCATCTTGAATGGAAGTAAGCGCGTTGCTGCTTCGTGCGGTGCATTGAGACACCTGGGACTTTTCCCGGCCAGGCTTCGCAATACCAGCGGTGCTGACCTTAGTCGTGCCTAGGATGCACTTTGGCAGCTCCCTTTGGCGGCCTCGTCGGCCTCCCTGCGATCACGTAAAAGGGCAAGTAAAGAGAGACTAGGTGACTAGGACTTGGAGGGATGTCGGTTTCAGGGACTCAAGGGTTTCGGGGTTTCCGAGTTACATGTCTCGAGGCTCTGTACAAGGCAGAGGGCACGGATCCACTGCAGCAGCTGATCGTCCACGCGAAAGACACGGCGGCTTTGGCTAAGCCGGCGCTTCTTGTTATTTTCGTTTTGCACATGATGTGCATCGGAGTGGGAGGGCCGAATGCCTCCGCATGTTGACATATCGTTGTGTCTTCCATTGCTTTTGCACTAAGTGACTAAGAACTCCCACGGGTACTGTACTGCATTGTATTGCATGAGAAGTCGTTCTTGTGACTGCCTTCCTGGCAAGCCAAGCGCCGAGCCGTCTGCTGAAACTACTGTAGAATCAGGTTCTTACCTTGATCTTTCGC